ATTATTTTTAGAAAAAAATGTAAACAACCCTAATAAATGTAAATAAATACAATAACGTCGTTTCAAATACTAGTAAATTCCATTAAGATATTCATAGTGCGAAGTTGTTTTTCAGTACGTTACGGGCAGTGGTTATAATAATTTAGAAATATGTATTTCCTTTTAATTACTCAACGCTTTTAGTATGTTGGTCGAAACGTAAAAAGTACTGATATAAAATTCTATATTTAAACTTGTCAAAAAGTACATAAATGTTTCAATCTTACTTAATAAACACATATTTTTATGAAAGATGTTTTTATAGTTTAAAAATATTTCGACTTTTATTTATAAACTGGGAAGATTTTAATTTTAGCAATAATAAGAATGTTTGTTACTCATCGCGACGAAAAAATTCTATTTTTAAATTTTATTTGTTAAATTCTATGCGTTTGAAAGTAAAGGTTGTCCCAAAAGTAACGCAAGATTTGAATTGAGCGCCATTTTCATTCCGAAGAGTTGGCAGCATTGTGCGGGGTCACATGTTGTAGTAAACACGTTGCTGTTAGACAAAATGGAGCGCTAGCGAGTGAAGCCTGTGAAATTTCATTACAAGTACGGAGAGTGTGTAGCCGAGACTGTGCGCAAATTACGTGGAATTTTCAGTAGAAGGAACGTCCCGAATGGAAGGAACAACTGTGAAAGAAAGCTACACACTCCATATTTGTAATGAATTTTCAAAATCTTCACTCACTCATCCGTCATACAGCGCTCCGTGCTACCAACTTTTCAGAATGAAAATGGCGCGCAATTCAAATCCTGCGTTATTTTTGAGACACCATTTATAAGTAGCGGAAATCAACAAAGTTGTACGTCGTTCAGGGTTGAAACCTTTGGCAGCAGCAGCTGTATTAAGAAATATGTATTCTATTTCGATTTATTTATTCTTCTAATGTTATCTCCAGATTTGTAAACACCCTCTATCGTGATATAAACAAATTACGATTTGAATAATTTAAAAGTGAACAAATAGCCATTTCTAATAATTAATATCAAGTTTTGAACCTTTTTTGTGTTTTAACACCATACCTATTATTTTCCCAGAAAAAATATTTACCTTGGTTTAATTGCATTTCAAATACAGATCGCTCGAGGGAAGAGTAGACCCTCTCCCGTCTCGGAATTTGAGGTGATGGGAAACTTCTTCCAGCATATTCTAAAACATAATTTGAATAACTGTAAGTAGGTACATAAGACACTATTTGTATTCAATGGATTAAAAATTACAGAGTATAATGCTATTTTCAAAAATATGTTCTTTAGTCCTTAATATCAAAGGACTTAAGCGAACATTTATAAATACACTATTAGTCAGTACTACAGTAAAGGTGCTACTTTCTGTATAAAAAAAAAACTATATAAAAATCTTACTTTCTCGTTCCTGTTGATTACGCTTTTGCATTTTTACAATCTTTGTAGATCCTGAAAAAAGTAATGCTTTTAGGGTAATTGTCAAATACCCAAATTCAACTACATCTACGGGGTATACATATTTTATTTTTTTAGTTATAGCTGAAAAATTATTTTTTTATATTTTCGGAATTTTTCAGTTGGATTTTTCCTCAAATATTGACGCTTCTTTTCGTAGATTTTTGTAAGTAGGATTCACTTCGGATATTCTCTGTAAAATTTTAAAAAGTTCAAGACATTTAACTTACAAACTATGTAGATTAGTGGTGTTTGACAAACAATTGATTTACGTCACCTGTGACATTTATCACGGGCTTTGGCAAAAGCAGAAAAATTGTTCAGCTGTTTTAATTGCTGCAAAATGTATTCATTTCTGTTGAAATCGTATTTGTTATTGTTGTTCATGTTCAAAGCCTAGTCCAGGTATGCATACAATTTTCACATGCCAATGTATGTAAACAAATTCCCGATGCGAAATCAAAAACATTTGCCCGTAACAAAACCACATATTAACGAAATGTTTTTGCATGAACAAAAATTTAACGCCAGACCTAGTCTGCCCACATCATAAAATATTATTTAGTTTCAATATTTCACAGCGTTATTACAAAGTGAAGCGAATGTAGGAATTTTTGCAGGCTGCATATTTCTGGATTTAGGAAGGGGAAATAAAAGGGGTTGGAGGATGACGTTTTTCAAAATGGAATACGTCTTGAAAATCTTGAGAGACGTGAAAATAAACGATAATGCTGAAAAGAAGCTGAGAAGTAATATCCGATATTAGACTTGTCTCCATCATTACCCAATTTTTCTAGCAGACAAACATTAAAATCTAGCAAGCAGCAGGACAGAATTATGTCTAAAAGGCATGAAAATTGAATTGTAGTATAAAACCGACAAATGCGGTAAAAAAATATAATTAATTTCAAAAACGCATTGTGACGTCATTCAGTGCGACAGAGAACACAACCTGCTTCTGGGTCGTCTGCTATCTAGTCTGCACTTCCCAATCAAGCGGATTTAATCCAACTAACTTGATTAAGAAAGAGACGACATGTTTTGATAACGAAAAAATGCCGATTTTTCGAAACGTTTAATATAACCGTAGACCCTGGTGTAAGAAGAATAAGCGCCGGTATGTAAATTGTTCGAGGGGGGATTTTTAAGTGAAATATTCACACAACATTTGATTTAAGGTATCGCACGTTTACGCAAGAAAATATTTCCTTCTTTCAAGAAAATTTTTTATTTAAATACTTTAAATTTCTACCCTGAAATATAATTTCTTTCTTTAAAAATAGGCAGCATTTAAAATAAATATTTGATGCTTACGGCTAAACGGATTCTATTCTTAATTTTATGATCTGCATAAATTTTATAGAAACATGTTTTGTATTGTATATTAATGTATCGTTTGTTTAATACAGAATTGGATAGTTTTCGCCAAATCATTGTATATACTTATTTGAAGAATATACATATTTGGATATAAATATTTCTCAGTAATAAAAAATATTTTGTTTCAAACGCACAAGACCTAGTACAACAGCTAGGATCGTTCGTAAGTTTAACCAACCAGACATAAGTCGGTTTGGGACTTACTGATGGTCCTCATCATTATGTCGTTAGAACGGTCCAGCTGCTTTAGTGTCGTTACTCACAAGGAGATGTATATACATAGAGCATAAGTGCTGGCTCCATCTATCGTGCTACTTCCCGCCTACGCCATTCTGTGACCTACAATTTTCTTTCAAGAAAACGTAAGTTTGATTATAATATGCTACATTTCTCTTGAATAATTCCTACATTAATACTAAATTTTAAATATACATATATATGTAAGGAACTGGTAGTTTTGAAACAAATATGTTTGCAGTTTGTGATGAATTGTAAGAGATATTGTAGTTAAAGTCCGAGATAATAAATTTCAAAACAATAAAAGATTTGAATCAAATTATATACTTATATTTACAAATAATATAAATTCTAAGAAAAATTATAGACTATTTCCTAGATCTTGTCGTCCAATATTAATAACACGTTTGCAATGACCAATGACAAAAAGTTACGTCTACGCTCGGAATAATGCGATCACTGATTGGTTGGACAGAATCTCCTGAAAAATCAAACCAATCACAGCCGGTGAAACAGAATGTTGTTTTAATGTAATCTTGATATTTTAATTTTACCGAAATTTAATTCATCAAGGAAACAAAAATACTGTTGCAAACAAAATTACTGGCCACTGGCTTGTGAACATTTATGAAGGCTCTGCATTAAGATAAATAAATGGCTAGAATAAATACTAGTAGATACATAAGTCCTTTTTATCTTTTAGTTTCTATTAAGACCGCAGATTCCCTATTTACACCAGACACAAAGAGTGTATTTTTAAACCTATCTACAGAAATATAATTTTTTTCAGAAAAATGGACTTATTCCGTTCTTGCACCAGAGTATTCAAGTGCTTGATACAGTGTTGCATATTTATGCTATTTCAGTTTGCGATTTTCGATTAGGCAAAATTAGTTTAATAAAAATAAGTTCATGTATAAAAAAGATTTAGTGACGTCATTTTATTTTCGTATTCTTCTCAGCAAACCCTTTCATTTGATATCATGGGAGTGCATAAAAAATAACTGGTCCGCCATCTTTGGGAGTCTGCCATATGTATTGGATTCAGAATGACGTCACTTAGCTAACCCTGCATTGTCATCCAAACTAAGCTGTTTTAAAATTTAATTGCAATAAAAGCTTGTAATAACAGTTAACTAACCCTTTTGGTTTTTTAATTGATTTTGTTCACAGGTAGAAAGATTCTAACAAGGGAAAAACTAGAACGGATAGAATCGTCGGGTTGAATTAGTCGAACTGTGTGACGTCACGAATGCTTTGCGAACGGTTTAGACCGTAGATATTAATGACGGTTGATATTAAAATGTATGGTCTCGTTAAGGATGAGGTTTGGGGGAGTGTTGTGTCGTTTCGTATTTGAGAGTTCCGTCGGTCGCAGATTGTCGCCAATCGGTGGCCCCGTCTAGCTTGTAGGATAGGGTTTGATTGCTGAATGCTGACTTCCGGTCTGGCTAGGGCGTAGGGCCTAGGGTACGGCAGGTGCCGAGGTGCGGGTGCAGGTGCCTCATTGCCACGCGTCGATCGGCAGCATCGACTAGCATCGATGATTGATGTTCACTAATTGAGCCGTTTTGTTTCTTAACCGCCAGATGGTCCGGCTATAGTCCGTGTCAACATCTTTGTTAGAAGTATCTCAAAGATAGATGACGTGACAATGGTAAGTGTATGGATCAGGGAATGGAACATCTCTGTTTGTGTAGTTTGGATGGTAGTTTGGATAGTTAATCAGTATCAGAAATGTCTTCAGGGTGTCGGCCGCGCCTGCGTGTGATGCTTTGTAGTGCGTGGCGTGGCGTGGCGGACGGCCAGCTTGCCAGCCAGCATGCGGAGGCAAGCGAGATGTGATTGGCGTGGCCGTGGCCCGCACCGCTCAATGCTAACCCCCTTAATAAAACCTTCTTACTTCTGTTCTGCAGTAGGACGGGTGGACGGGCCGACCGTAGTAAACATCAACTTCTTTCTGCGGTCTATCAGCAAAATTGATGATTATAAAATGGTGAGTGCGCGGTCTGCCAGTCATGTCGAGTATTGGATTGATGGGTGTCATTGTCATTGTGTCGAGTGTGTTGCAATTTTTTTTTTTTGTATATCCTGTTCTCGCCCATTGCCATTGCATTCACTTGCACAGGGCCAGCAGCCAACTGCGACTGATGGTGAATGATTGGTGATGTTGCAATGAGGGCACCAGCACCAGCGCGAGCATGCAGAGTGTAGCGCTCGCAATCGCCTGCGCTAGTGTCGCTGCAGCCCCGGTGACTATACGCTCGTAGATGTTTCATGTGCGTTTTGCATGGCCTTTGCCCACACCGAATACTCTCTCCTAATTCTCTCTACACACCTCTCACATGCAGGCAGATGTGTACCACGAGGCGGAAAATCCAGGATGAAATATACAAATTCCAGTTTTCGTTCTTCAACTTTCAAACAACAAATTTTACAAAAAGTCGCTAAGGGTTACAAAAAAATAAAACGCATTATTGTACATTAAAGTTTTTGTCCGTGATGGACGTCTGGCACCCATTGTTTAGTTCTTTTGAATACTATTTGTTCTTTATGATCCCAGAAGCAACTCAACTGGGCGCATCTCCTTCCATTAAAATGGTAGTGTAGTGCCGGTGTCCCGTCGCGTCGAGTTGATACCGCGTCGTGTTGCGTAGTGCAGTCGGTTACATCTAACGCAAGTTATTCAATAATTGTAATTAAAATTTGTACTTGTTGCAATAATAATTAGTTACTCATCCTACTATGTAAAATAATGTGTTTTCTTTTTGTGCAACCCTTACTTTGATCTGCAAAATGACACCCGATAGCTTTGCTTGCTTGCTTGAAATTGGATCCCGAACAAGATCCTCATTTTTTCGCCTCCTGGCACAAATCACGATATATGTTTCACTCGAGATATCTACGCAGATACTATACGTCAAGTTTAACCAACCAGGTAGATAAAATAAATCAACACCCTAAGCTTTCTGTATTTCCCGCTAGAAATTCTTTCACTTGGCTTTCGTAAAATCACTTAAACAATCTCAAAACTCAGATACATAATACGCTGCAATTCGGGAAGAAAGAGAAACCCAAGTTAAGAACCAACAATTTTGCAAATACTTCAGAAGAATTTGGATATATTAAAAAACTTTCCAAACCCTTTGCAGTTTATTAAAAATGTTTCGAAATTATTTTAATTATGTACTTTGAAAGTATGTTCGAATACATTTAGAACGGTAAAGGATAACAGTAAAATTTAATTCGAAGACCGTTTTGAACTCATAGTTTGTGCTGAAAATAGCAATACAGAAAGCTTAGCTTGCAACAAAGCATATCACCTTTTTGTTAGCAAAGTGATTGGTGTTGGTTAGCTGTCGTTTCCCGTCATTTCACTCTTTGTGTTACGTCACTGTAAATGTTTTATTTCACTTTAAAAAATATAGTGAAACGTAAAGATGTATGTATAATAAAAAATGTGAACTTATATTCTTTAACTATTGTATAAACAATAATGAACCGTATTTCTGATATATTTACACATGATTTATAATTTTAAATAAAGTAAATCATGCGAGTTTTTACCACCAAGTAAACAAAACTGTGACGTCTGTGTTTTAAAAAGTGTTTTTAGTTGCTTCTGATTTCTTTTTGCTTTAGTTGTCCTTAAAATGGCTTTAATCTGTTGTAACCAACAAAATTGATCGACTTCGACAAGGCATTGTGTTTTTAAACTGTAAACATACTTTTTCGAAGTTGCAGGTAATATATAAATTAACGTTAATTCAAGCCTTAATGTGAATCTATCATGAGTTTCCTTCCGATTGAAGACATTACTGCATGTTTAAGCTATGTGTATAATAATATAACAAAGCATGTGCACGCAGAATGGTTTTAACTAGATGGTTTAACGTTGTCCACAATAGTGCCCTGGTGTCGAATTAAAAAATTAATAGATTCACGAGAAATACCTACATTAAGAAGGTGAATAAATATTAATTAAATCTGAAGACTTTTTCTCTGCGTCAGAATTCAATAAGAACTATAAAGGTGATTTTATTAGCCATTTTTTGATCTAATAATTGGGAAACTTCAATGATATATTTTGTAAGGTACAGGGTGAACCAATAACTCTCACACCACATCTCACTTTATGAAATCTTAAAAAATATAATAACAAATGGAAAAGATGGCGATCAAAATGTATTTTTTTACATAAACATACATTTTTTATTTAATCACTTTTTAGTGCACATTTTTCTAATTTCCAATGTATATATTTTTAGCGATAGCCCTGATATCCACTAATTTTATAATTATATTTCATTTCAAAAAAGAATGTTAATTTACTTGGCTATAAAAAAAAATAGTATAATTATCTTAACAGTAGCCTCGGTTTAAAAATGCCAATTTCTGCATATATCTACCGCTTCTACATATATTGTTTTATTTATTTGAAATACTTTTTTATTAAATACAATCTAATTCCAAAATTAGTGGATATCATCTCTATCACTAAAAACATCATGTACAGTCGTTTACAGTTAGAGTGAACAAGAGTAAACAGTTTATTTTTTGTTACTCGGAAAAAAGTAATTGATATTAAAAATATGCTTGTCTTCAAAATAAAAAAATTTCTTTAGAATTAAAAGCCGAAATTTCTATTTGTAAACAAATAAGCCCACTTAAAAAATTTTGGCTAAAATAAATGATTGCAAATTATCGTTAAGACGACCAGAGTAGTTACGAGTTGTTAGAAAGTCACATATTCAAAGGATTCTGAAAGAAAAAAATGTTTGTTTATTAAGCCATGAACAGTGGACTCTGATACAAAAATTTTCACAAGCGGGAAAAAGTCGTTCGTCATAAAAAGCGGCAAATTAAATACATTTTTTTCGTACCTTTTGAACGAATTAAAGATGCGGTTTTCTCCTTTCGGTTTTATTTAATTTTCAGGGTTTACCATAAAACAAGCAAAATTGATTATCAAAATATATAAAACGAAAAATAAAGTATTTAGCTCTTGCCCGCTCTAACCGTAGTATAAAGTATATATTTTCAGTTTCAGAGTTCTTCTGAAGAAAAAAGCGTCAAGATGTCTAAATCGGCGACATGGCAACGAGTTCGGAAATTGTTCGACCAATATATTTTAGTCAAAAAAAGCGTGGATAAACGAAACAGACATTTAGAAAATATCGTTGTCATTTCTTTGTTTTTCTGTTGAAATAACTGAAGTCCTCTTAAAAAGTACTAATTGGCCAATTTTTTATTTTTGTGTGAGTTGTTTGACCGGCCTTGTACCTGCAAGAATATAAAAAAATAAATCGATGCCAGGGTTCTAGAACTAGCGACTCGTATCGTGAAAGCGCCGGCAATGTCGATGCAAAAAAAATTCATGCTCCCTACAAAATTTTCAGGAGTACAGCGTACAGCTAACGTTTCGGGAGCAGTGGCTGGACGAGAGGCTGAAATTCAATGACTTCGGGGGAAAACTAAAATACCTGACGCTCACAGAGGCGAACAGGGTCTGGATGCCCGACCTGTTTTTCTCGAACGAGAAAGAGGGTCACTTTCACAACATCATCATGCCCAACGTCTACATCCGCATTTTTCCATACGGATCTGTATTGTACAGCATAAGGTCTGTATACAAATTCATTAATTACTTCTGGCTCTCGGCTGCGTGAAAATGTAAACAACTCTCTTCTTTCACGCCATTCACGCGCTTCTCTGTTACCTACACCTCGTAATTTATCAAATTAATTCAGGTAAACCTCCCGGTTATTGACACGTCGGGCCATTCTAACCCCAATGCCAAATTTATATTTGCAGAAAAGCATTTTTTAAATAAAAATCGTAGCTTTGCATTCATTTAGCACCAACAGTGTATCCTATAGTACCTTGACTCGCTGAATCCGAATCCATAGTTAGAATTCCCTTAATCACTGATTGTACAGTCAATGAAGTACTATTAGATTTTTTCTATGCAGATATACTTAAAGATAAGAATCCTGGATGACTTTATAACATAACTCTGCCGCAGATCATCAAGTCAAAGTACTATAAGGAACATTGGTCTAGTTTACGGCCAAACCCATTTTTTTATGGCGCTGTGTTATTGGTCCCTTGTGGATGAAGTTTAAACGGTTTTAAGGAGGTATATCGGGGTCCGAGGGAAGTTAGGAGCGCAGGGGGGGGGGTCTTATGCTTTTCTTATGGGACTAAAACCCGCTGCCAATTTGAAAAAATTAAATTCTATTGAAATTATTTGCGATAAACCATTATCTATATAGCAAAGAAATCTACTCATATGCACATAGCCTACATATTGACTAATTAACAACATAAAAATATCATATTTAAGTAGTTTTAAATTATATTTAATGAACGCATAAAGACTATGTAGATGTGGCAACAGCGCTAATAATTGACTAGCAGTTGTACACACTGCGAACCTACAGACCTCGGACATCGGAGATATTGCGCGTCAAATTCGGGTAAAGATGCGTACGCGTTCAAAAATGTATTGTGTGTAAACTATGTACAATATAATTATTATATATAGCAAATATATCGTATTATCCTCGCGAAGATTTGTATCCTTTATTTAAAATCCGTAAATCATGTGAACTGGTAAAACAACGAGAATTATGTTAATTTAGTTCTAAAGAAATGAAATGACACTCGCGCCCATCTCTCGTCCAAGTCAAAGAAAATGTTGGATGCAATTTTGAAGGTTCTGTGATAGAAATTACATTATTACTCACTGTTCGTGTTTTTAATCTCTATTTTAGTAATGTTACAAAAGTTTTGCAACTATAACTAATTTTTTAGATATAAAGTTTGCTGAGAAATATTTATGTTCCTTTGTTATTCCGTACAAATGCTTTTATCTCAAGTATTACTAATTATATTAATCAAGTAAAGAAAACTTTATGTAACCCTAAATATTGCTGGGTAATGATTACGATGTTTTTATAAACCATTAAATATATTAAAAGGATTTATCAACTGTATTTTTTATTCCAATAAATATATCACAGCTTCCTAGTCTTTTTTAATTAATCTAGTTTTTTAAAAACATTACAAAAAATCATCTGTTGTGGATAATTTATTGTTGATAACAATGTACATGGGATTTAGGAAAAATGTATATGTTTGAAATCAATTTCGTTTTTATCAAGTCTTTCAAATGTATTCCCTCCTTGCTGTCAGCTGATTGCGACGTTGCCACATTAATCCTCAAGTCAGACAGAAATGCAATTATTGGTTTCTGTTTCTAATTAATACAGCTGTACTATGTTCAAAACTTACATTAGTTTTACATCAAAAATAAGATAATACTGTGTACTATCTATGGAAAAGTTTTGTTTCACAATTTCTACATTTTTTTCTCAGTTATGGGCAAAAAAAGAGCCGCACCGTCCATCTTCGCCATATAAACCTATGTTAAAATGAACAACTTTCAACAACAATATCTAAAAATCTAGATTCAAAAAAAATTTCAAAAAAATATGACGCACAGAGGGAGCACTGTGTAATACGCTATATAAATTTCAAGTACATCTGTGCATTTGAGTAAACCCGATATACCTCCTTAAAGAATATAACACCGAGTTATAATTAAGTGTTATTGGTCCGTTATGGACGAAGTTTTAAAACAGTTTTAAAGAATATAACACCGAATTGACGCCTTGAGAATCTATTGCAAGACATTGTTAAAGTTGTTTTAATGTTATACTATTGTTTAGTTACATACATCCTTTCTATTCTCCTCATCTTGCTCCATCAGATTTCCTTAGATTCAAAATCAAAGCTTACAAAATAAAAGAAATTACAGTAATAGCTAAAAATATATATATTAGTATAAATATTTTCTACGATTCATTTTGTATTGTTTTTGTTTGTGGTCCGAACTACGTCCCGTTCGCAAGCTGTCGACCGACAGTAGTTAAAAAAAGATTTTTAAATGTCGTGTCTCTTGCTCTTTATATGAAGTGTTATTAGTGGAAAATTTTTCTGTGCGACATTTTGTTTACAGTACGTGCTTTTTAAAAGCAAATCACAATAATTGTATCGACACTTAGTTACGAATGAGATTCCTCTTGCACGTGGCGGAATAAATAATTTCTTATTGAATATTAATGGAACATTTTCCAGCAACAACGTGGTAATTAAAAAATCCAAATAATTTTGCTCGGTTATTTGCCTCGGCAGATTCTAATTAAATTGTCTCCAAGGCCAGCTTATACATTAATAGAAAATTCGTCTTGAAAGATATTCTGCATAACTTCACACGTCAACTCGATGATGGGTATCAGGGAAATAAAAATACTCTAACTAGAAACCTGTCGATAAAATTATTGCGATATGCTTCTAAAAAACACCTACAGAAATTCTGTTTGTGAGGAAAATCTGTTCCTTTCACCTCCTACACTCCTTAGCCATGACAGTGGTACAATAATTGTTTTCCTTTTGTCGACGATAAGTGGAAGATATTCCTTGGAAGTATATGTAATCTCAATTAACGGTTTCAGTATGTCAAGTATGCGTTCCTCAATTAACAATATTTATTGACAGAATTTTAAGAAGAGTTTTTGAATTTATTTGAATTAGTAGTGAAGACAAGTAACAATAATTGTTGTTTAAGGCTTTTAAGACAAGGAATAACACTCGATATATAAAATACGTTGAAACAAGATTTGCATTTTACTTGTCCATATGAATTAACAACCACAAGTATACCTAAGCAACCAAATGACATGATAACTTTCCAATCAAGTGACAACTAAAAACTAATGACGACATTATCATATTTTTTTAGCTACGTAAGCTTCGAATTTTATGTCCCGTGTTGTATAGAAACTATCTTATTTTGAAATATATGTACACATCTTGCCGACACCTTGTACAATTCAGTGTCTTCCGTTTAACACGATTTTATTTTTCAGAATTTCGCTTACCCTTTCTTGCCCCATGAATTTAAAATTGTACCCGCTAGATCGGCAGATTTGCTCTTTGCGAATGGCTAGCTGTGAGTTTATAAATAAATACAAAAGCCGGTTTGCTAATTGTTTGAATTTTCAGACGGCTGGACCACGGACGACTTGGTTTTTCTTTGGAAAGAAGGGGACCCTGTCCAGGTGGTGAAAAACCTACACCTACCTAGGTTCACTTTGGAAAAGTTTTTGACTGATTATTGCAACAGCAAAACTAACACAGGTACTGCGATAAAGTAACGGATAAATTCCATTGAGAATTCAAATTTTGTCTTCATTTTCAGGCGAATACAGTTGTCTGAAAGTGGATCTTCTATTTAAAAGAGAGTTCAGCTACTATCTTATCCAAATCTACATCCCTTGCTGCATGTTAGTTATAGTGTCCTGGGTATCCTTTTGGCTAGACCAAGGAGCAGTACCAGCCAGGGTGTCACTAGGTAAGATCCTTAATAAATTTTCCCGCTGTTTTATTTGAAACCCATCCACCGCACCAAATATTTTTCATTGCTTATTTGATTTAGTAGGAAACTGGTTGATAGATTAAAAAGGACAACCAGTTTCTTTTGTTCAGGGTTCTTCCACAGTGTCTTGTTTTCAGGGGTTACAACGCTCTTGACTATGGCTACCCAAACCTCGGGAATAAACGCTTCTTTGCCGCCGGTTTCATACACGAAGGCTATCGACGTCTGGACGGGCGTCTGCCTGACTTTCGTGTTCGGGGCCTTGTTGGAATTTGCGTTGGTGAACTATGCCTCTCGTTCTGATATGCACCGGGAAAACATGAAGAAGCAGAGAAGGCAGTGTGAGCTGGAGCACGCCGCTTCTCTGGACGCCACTTCGGACCTTATCGATACGGAAAGTAACGCTACTTTTGCAATGGTAAAAAAATCTAATTTATCTTTTTATCCGTGTTTAAATGTTGTGTGTCTAAAGTGTTTAAAAATTAAGTAGTCACGCCTTTTCCGTATAAAGTTTGAAAAAATTCATTAGGAAACGTAGTTCAGAATTACAATGTATGCCCATGTTCCAAATTTGAAAGCAATTAATTGGACTACTTCGATTTTTTTAATGTTTGTATAAGAAATCGTAAAAAAGGAATTTAGAACTAAAATTTATGTTTATGTCATTTTTGATTTTTCAATGATTAATCCAATAAAAAAACATCAAAGATAAATTTTAATTATTTAAAAACTTTCCTTAATACAATAATTTTTTGATGTTTTAAACGAAATTTTGCTTGAAAATGATGTTTTAAGTTATGATTATCTGGAAACGCCCTGTAAGTATTAAATGCTGGAAATTGAATGCTTATACGTATTTGCCAGCTTCATTCCCATATTCCTAATTTCGCGTCAGTCGATAAAGAACGTCAGAATTCACTGCAATAATATTTTGAGGAATTCCGACGAAACATGATAAATATAAAACGTAAATAGGTATGCTATTTATGCCTATATTTGATATTTATATATTTTAAATAGAATTTCACCAAAGGAAGCGACCCTACTGGTGCATGAATTGCAAAGAAGCTTACGGAGTTTACCGTTAGCCGTGCCGGCGTGCCGCACAACGAAATCCTGAATATTTTCATTGCCTTCATTTCATTGCATTGTTAAAATACAATAAAATATGTTCTTGATTTTCGTTTATCTCCTCTTCTCTAATAATGCCCGTAAAAGGTGAACCAATTTCAACACTTGAGTTTTCCGTATTTGCTAAAGAGGCAGATAAAAAGTAAATAAATCTTGTAATAAGTTTTTTTGCTTAAAATCTAACCAATACATTTTTCGAAATTCAAAAGTTTCGCGAAACGAGAGATAACTGAAGGTTCTTAAAAAATATATTTATTTTCAGGCTTTCACAGTTTTTTTCAAATTAAATATTTTAGATAGTGATAAAATCTGTTTCTATTTATTTATCAGCAGTTCGAGTGGTTGACGATGGTAAATTGAAAACGAAAAGCCGGACGGTAAAAATCAAAAAGTGTATCACAATGTTTCAATGGTTTACAATGGCGTAACTAATGTGTTTAACTTGAGCCACCCTGTACCTTTAACTATTTCAATATCCCCTTATTAAGTATATTTATCTTAAGACGGGTATCCACTTGTGGCAATGCTCCGTAACGTAACAACGAACATGTTACGGCCTGTTGCAAAAGGTGACACGGTTCGCTGCGAAAGTATGTGTTGTTTTGGTTGTATCATTCATTCTGTGACGTAACAAAATAAGGTTAGGAGACGACACAGGAACATAAACTCGCAGTATGAACCTGATCGCGATAATGGATTCGTCACTGCAATTGCAGTTAGCAGCAGCGTCCTATATTTTGATTCATCATACAATTTTGAAGAATAAGAATCGGAAATCTCCGGAAATCTTTTCTTTACTCCACTCCATGGCACAAACACAGAAAAACACACTCTTCCTAGTCACTGTAGAAAACAGACTGACCCCAGACCATATACAAAAGACTGACGAAACAGAAAGTGAGACAAAATCACATGTGCAACAGGCAACGTTACGGCCAAAAAGGTAACCCCGTCTCAACATGTGGCAGAAAGTACTGTTGCATCCCTTTGATGCGACGACTAACAACCGACAACTGATGGTTAGTCCCGGATTAGTTACGCGTGTCAAATTTGTTGTTACACGTACCATGCAACAATTTTCCGTCTCCACTAGCTGTAACGTAACATGTTCGGTGTTACGTTACGGGGCATTTGACACAAATGGATACCCGCCTTTAGGCACAGTGTATACTTTTAATGGCTAATTAAATTGTAAAGCGAAACAGGTAAATTCTACAAAATCTTGGCGGAACCAGTTTCTAGATGACATATACGGGCTGTTAATTAAAAAAATATATAATTTTGGATTGTAACTGGAAAACTACTATTTAAATAAAAACGCATTACAAACAATTCACTAATAAAAGAATAACTGCTATTACACGTTACAAGCATGTACAAAAATTAAAAAGCATTTAGTAAATGAATGAATATATCGAGATACGTTCATCACGACTTTATTTTTTGCTTCTCCTCGGTAAATACGAGAAATCCCCCAAAGGTGTCGAAATTGGCCCGCCCGCTGTTTTATATTCAACTTAATGAAGTTATGTTGCGGAGGCGCTCCGCCTGAAAGTGTTGTTTATTTTTCAGAAGCCACTTGTGCGACATCCAGGAGACCCAATGAGCTTGGAGAAAGTCCGTCAGTGCGAAATCCACATGCAACCCGCGCGCCCGAATTGCTGCAGATCTTGGTTGTCAAAGTTCCCCACCAGATCGAAACGCATAGATGTAATTTCACGAATTACATTTCCATTAGTTTTTGCGTTGTTCAATGTCATATACTGGTCAACATACCTTTTCCGAGAAGAAGCAGAAGAATCATAAACACCAACAAAAAAAGAATTCATAATTGTGATTTTTCATAAATGTAAATATACAGTTACTAAGGTCTTCAGTTTTATTTGTTGTGTTTGATGTTATTATGATAAAAATTGCATTATTCCGTCTGCATTGTTAATCTACAGGTTAGATATCGCACTCGTATAATAAATTTTCTATATAATGTTAAATTCCACCGCGATTTTCTTTGGAGAGGTAGATAACTCATTATTTATTATTGTACACCGTTAGCAAAAAATTAAGGCGAAGCTCTTCAAACGCCTTTTACATTATTTTATCAAAACAAATAATTTTAAGGTTCATCATCATCATCCAACAACATGAACTACTAGATAACTGAGAGACCACCAAGAGTATGCTCACAACATTACGTATAATTAATTAGTCATTTTAACATTTGTGTTGTTTGTTAATAAAAATAAATAAAAACAAATTTGAAAATTGTAATTTCTTTGTACTTCTTCGCTATTTTACTTTACTACGAATTAAGTATTAGTCCACATTCACTGTCTCAAACTACCTAAAGTTTGTAGTTTGTAGTCCATAGAGACGGACGTCAGTGAAAAAACTGATCCATAAACCAAAACGGGGAAGAAAAATATTAAGCAAAGGAACTAAAATAAAAAAAAACAAAATACTATATATACGAACGAAAAAAATAATACCCACAATAATTTCCTATAAAATGACATTCATAAGATTTGTGGATAATCGTGAGAAAGTAGACGTCAAAAGTTGGTAAGTGGGTAATAAAAAGAGCCAAAGAAAAATATGGTTTTGGTTTACAGCAGGGCAGTATTTGAAAAAAATATTTTACAAAATTTCTTTAAATATATGACTGACTATTACATAATATTTAATTAGAAACTTCAAAATTTAAAGACGGCGCGTTTTACAGTATATCTAAGTCCCGTATCAGACTTCAATCGATTTGCAACAAAACAATGTCGTTTGAAAAAGTAATAAATTTTGATAAAAATAACCAAATTGTTAACTGTTGACTGTCAATTGTTACCAGCTTAATCTCAGTCCAAGTCCAATTTGTCCAAGTAGTTTTTAAATTTAACTATACAGGGTGATTTATTTGGATAAGACAAAAATAAAATAGGTAGATGTGTCCAACAAGAAATGTTTATAAGTGCAATAAAATATAAAATACAACACAGAGACCCCTGTGGATGCGTAATTTGCTTCATCAACATATGATACAGTATTCTTAGTAAAAAATACTCGAAGGTTTGTTCAATACATTCGAGCCACAGTTCTAATCCACGTAAATATGTTCCGTTGTCGATGGCTTTCACAGACTTTCGTTCACAATTGCTTGAGCGTGTAAGTTCTTCATGCAAGACCATAGAATAAATTTCTTGACGTTGGGTCTTTGGGGCCACGACACGAAATCGCCGCTTCCTATCCATCCCCTTTGACATTCGACTTCCAAAAAAGGCACACTGAAATGTGATGCCCCGTTGTGTATGAACCAGACCCTCCGTAGCATGTCTTTTTTACTACAAAGTCCTGCTCGAAGATTTAACGAATTGAATGAAAGCGGAATTTCCTCCTATTAGTTCACTAGTTACAGAACATCGTTAATTACTCCTCAATTTGATACACGTCTACCTAAACAGAAAATACTTACATTTTCCTGTATAGCACCATTCTTAATTATATTACAATATTCGTGAGGAGCAAAAGTTACCACTGTTACACTTTTGCATCACGGTATTATCTCACACGGTCGTAGTTACTAGCCGATTCACCGACCAGACCAACTACAAGACAAATGAGTGTCAAGAATACACACTAGAACTCACTCTGTAGCATTCAAGGCCAAAGTAGTTAATTAACTGTTAAAAAAATGCATGTCTTCGTAGAAAAACAAAAATACCTTTTCTTGAAAATGTTATAGTAAAGGAACGCACTCCATAGTAGTGGCGGCTCTTTAGAGACGACAGGATCTGTAGGTGATGGACCCAAACAAAATCAGAAGAAATTATTGCAATGTCTTCGGATTCCGATATTTTGTCAAGTAGCGTAGTTGCACATAGTTTTAAATCTGTCAATTTAATTATCGTTTCAAAAAAATTAAAAGTTGTAATTGTAATCTACTAAAGTCGATATAAATTTCATATCGACTCATTTTGGTATACCTAGGTCACCTCTTAGATATCTGGACATCTACTAGAGATAAAACTATAAAAGGTGCAAGGAAGGTAAGTTATTCCAAGATTAACGATATCTGAAAAGCTATTATGAATATCAATATAGAACCCATTTATACCATAGAAGAGCACGTACTTGCAAAGTGCGCTAATGTTAGATAGACTTATCAGAAGAATGTGAATATGTAATGACGTCACCTGTTCAGCCTATCAAACTTCTGGTAATACTGATAATCAATCAAATATTCATTGCATACATCTTACAATTAGCTACACTTATATTACCAGAAGAACTTACAGCAGATATACTTATATACGAACAATATTTGAATTAGAAGCAGTTGATATCTTACTTGAAATGGTATCTTTTCAAACAACTTTTAAATAACTTTTTCAGGACTGAGCTTTGCGTCAACTAAATTCCATTTCTCTTTTTTATAGACCATATACCTAAGTTTATGAAATACAATGCAAGCAATATATAATCGTACCCTTAAAAGACTTAAACTAAAAGTTATCAGATAAAAACTACGTGCACCGACTCCATTGAAAACATCTTACATCAGCTAAAATATTCAATTTTAAATATTGACTATTAACTATAAAATTGTTAAAAGAATATTAAAAAACTAAGCTACAATCAGCATAATATTGATACATTTGAAGCCTACTTTAAAAAAGAAAAAATACAACATACCTGATGTGCAGATCTTTGAACAAAAGTCGGAACGGAAATGGAGGAAGAACTACTGAATAAAATGGCTAAAGGTAAAATACGCCCTCTTTGATCGATTTGAACTTAAATCGAGTGGTAGAGATCGAGATACACCACTGCGCATTTTAATGCGCAGCATGTGTTTTATATCACGTGGTTCTTCAAGCCAATACCAAAAGGCCGATTATGAATAGAATTTTTTAAAATCTAGTTTAGGCGATACATTTGGGGATTGTAAAGTTTTGATAATAAAAACAATTAGTTTTCGATAGTCATTGGGTTCTTTATACTGAGAGTAAATATTTCCTTCTGTACTTTATATAATAAAAGAAAATACAATGCTTTCAAGCCAGCAGAGCGCAGATGGTCAAAAATTGAAGTCACGCAGAGTTTTTTGTTTTACATATAATTTTTTTCTGCAAACAATTTTTCGTTAGGCGTAGAAAAAAATAATTAAAAACAAAAAACCCTCACCACCATTATTTGGCGTAAGATTTTAATAAAATAGCTTTTATTTTTTATAGAAATTGACTAATTTAGAGAATTTTAATAAGTAATCAACTATATGTTGTTTTGATACTGTTGTAAGTACCTAGATACCTACTCATTTTAATTTTAATGCTTCCTGAAGCAATCGAAAAAATAAAAACAAAATTCTAATAACATTTAAAACCATTTCGGTTAATTTAGTTTAGACCAATTATTAGCCATCTATGTTCGCGGGGTGGGTTTTTAAATTTTTGCTACATATGTTAGTTAGATACCTATCCAACTCCCAATAATTCTATAGTTAGGCAACCAGTCAAACATTGAAAGAAAACTACTAGTTGGCGACCCTCTTATAAAATCCCTGTTATATACCCTTGTTGACAGAGTCGCCATCTAGTAGTATTATATCTAAGTTTGACTGGTTGTCTATATTCCTTCTAGCATTGTATAATATAGTATTATATTTCTTATGGCCGAATAGTTAACCAAATTTTAGTTCTCAAATTCGTTACAAGGAGGAGCCATATGTATATAAACTTTATATTTAATCCTTCACGTTCGATTTTACACTTTCGATGCTGCGCCATCTTGTTTTCAATAGTTAAATGATCCATTACACAGATATTTGGAAATACAGTTGGCTTGAGATGTGTTTATAATGTCTGTATTTGGAAACGATTAAAAATGACAGGGTAGATAGAATAAACGGAATAAATTCATATCATGTGATATGAAAATTAGTAAAATACCAGCTACCGGCAGATACGACAAAAAATAAGCTTCAGTTAATGCGGTTTGAGTTTTTATCTAGGATTTGAGAAATTATTTAATTACGGTAAAATTAGTTAAATCAATATGAGTGTAATTTAAGCAAGATATTTATTTTAAATTCATTCATTTCAGTATAACAGTAACAGGGCCGCGTGCAAAATAAATTGCGTGGCCGCTTCATGAATACATAAAAAACAATTATGAACGCATATGATGTTAAGGAGTTCTACTTTTTCTGATTACAGAAATATACATAAGAATATGTCATATGTTTGCTTAGACACATTGCATAATATTTTGTTAATGAAAAGTAAAACATTTTTTTTTAATTTTAATTTTAATTTTTAGGGTTTTTCACGTAACCCGTTCATTAAAAGTATTTAAACTTCTAGTTACAATGGAAATTTAAAATTTTGACAGCTATCTGTGTTCAACAAGAATACTTTCAAGTGTGGGATACTTCCGGATTCACCGGAAGTGACGTCATCTCCATTGTTTTAAATGGAATACCCCATTTTTTATATCACTCGTCGATTCTATCAGTCATTTTGAGTAATTTTTGTCACCACGTCCATGCCTTGAAAATTTATGATTTTCGTTTTCGAGATATTTAGGTTTTTTAAAAAAAATTAATAGATGAAACGTCGCGATTAATATTAAATATCTCTACCATTTGTATAACTGGATATACTTCCATTATTAGTATGTAGTATTTGTTATGTATTCGTCGAAAATGTGTCACATTTGACCAAGCTATGCACAAGGTCCTCAAAATTTTGCGGCAAACACGGAAATTTTCACAGATTGAAAACTAATTTTTTTCAAACGGAACAATACAATTTTAGTCAGGAACATGTAGAATTAAATTCTGCGTCGACTGATATAAAGGTTTCCTATACTTATCTTCAACGGTTTTGGAGATAATCAAGATTATTTATAAAGAACGAATTTTAACGTGCGTTAATTTACTACTATAATTTTTAAGAAGGGTGTGCCACCAAAAGATAGTTTCATTTGAAAAAAATATGTACGTCCCAAAAAACTCTTCGATGAACTTTATTTGTTAATAAATTACATCGTTTAGTATTTTTGACGGGATTTTGGTTTTTATAGCATTGTTTGGGTCGATTAGAGTAAATTGAAACACACACCTAGATGGAAAACTAAAATTAATATAGAAAAAAAATTACGTCTCAAATATCAGTTAAGTGGAATCAGATCATTGGATTCAGAAAATTATGAAGAATATTGTAAGTTACTGTCATTTCTGCCGAAACCGGAAGTGACTGAAAAATAATTAAAATGTCAAAAAGTGAAGTTTAATACGATGTCCCAAATTGCAATAATTTATCTTCAAAACTAAAAAGAAAAAGGGGGGTATACCATCGTTGTGTTAGTTTAAATTATAGATAACGCTCGATATTATTAGATTTATTTTTAATGTTTTTTATCTAGTTTAATTTTAATTATGTATTTGTGTTTTATATCCGGTGTATTGCTGTAATCAAAAAAGTAGAAGAATTTAATAAACGATAAATATACAGGGTGTTCCATTAAAAAAACAAGCATTTTGTTTTATATCTCTCTGAAACGCAATATCCAATTGTTTTTCCATGTAGTTCCTTGATATCACAAGAATGTATACTAAAACTTTGTTTTTTACTATTTTGTCCTCGCCACAAAACATTTTTCGTCCTTTCTAAAATTATGGTCTCTCGCTGTCACGTCAATTCCCAGTTTTCGAGGCCTGCGAGACCTCGATGCGTAGCTTTTGACGTCACCACGCATTGATAGAAAAGGACGAAAAATGTTCATATTTTAGAGTTGTATCATTGTATAAGTAAGTATATCTCAGTTAATATTGACATAAAAAATCGGAAAAACGCTACATCAATTTTTGACATACTGCAAGCAAATAAATAATAAAAAAACAAATGTGAGACAACCGTATTCATATTTGGAATTTGATTATTTGAATATCTGCTTTCCCCTCTTAATGAATCCCCTCCCTAAACCAACGCGAAATATTCGCAGTGGCAGCCAAATTTTCTTCCTCTTCTTCTTGATAATATTTTTGACATACCGACGTTACTCTGATAGCTTTTTAGAGGGGTTTGACAGTAAAAATTTACAAACCCACGAAAAATCATTTTCACCGACACACTGGCTTTTTACTGATAATTAGTAATCACAATGACCGAGCCGTAAGAAATAGGTCCCCAATCATGGTCCACGAAAATGTTCTCCGGTTTATCCTAAGCTATTCAGGGTGTAAACTCTTAATTTTCACCTTTATTCCTACCCATGGTATAATGATTTTAGGACACCCTGTATATGTATATTTATTTACTCACCACAATTTTCTATCCATTTTTAACTCGTTCTTCACCACCATATTTTTCCGATGGAAATAAATGTAATATTATATTGGGAAATTTTCCTTTAGATTTTCCCAACTTATAATATTGACATATTATATTTCCTGTCATTATTAATTTATTTTAAATATCTAAACAGTAAACAGAATACCGATTCCACAGCACCAGTTTTTTATGCATTACATTACATAGTGGCGATTTGTTTTATTCCAATCTTACTTAGAGCCATCTACACCCGCATTACTATACCCCTTGTATAATAATAGTACAGTAGAGACCGCCTAGACCTACAGTGAGTTCTTTCGCACAAATTTCAGAAATATTAATAACCGATACAGACGATAGATGTCCACACCATCTTCGGTATCGTTTTACTGGTTAACAAAATTTACATGGGGCAGAGACAACATGGGGATTATACCGATTATATTACTATATTTACTTATACAATGCTTCTAGTATCCAGAGAAATCTGATTTATTTTTAAACGCAGTATGTTGCTTCCTTTAATTCAGCCATCTTTTAGTCAGATGCGCAATTAATCATTTTGCCACCAAATACTGATTTATCAATGAATTAGGAAAAGTATAGAATACAACTCAGGAACCATATTTGTCCTTTTTGGTAAATTTTACGACGAATATTTGCTGGAACGCATTAGTTTATGAGAAATCACTGATTGATTATTTTAAGTATGATAAAGGAATTTGAAGCCAATTGTACCAATAAGAAATAACTTTTATGCTATAGGCCCTCTATGAGATGTATAATGAATAAATTACACGTTTTTGCTTCTAAAAGAAGTCTGTGTTCTAAAACCTATCTTTTTTCTTTCGGACCGTCTCTTTTTATAGTTGATGCGAGGAAGCAACATCTGGGTTTCAGAATTGGTTATAAAGGCATCGAACTCATTAAAATAACTAAAAATTAAACAACATTTAAGTGAATTTATATAGTCCCGGTATAACGTAAGTCTTAATTTTTTTTTTATAGTTCTATTTCAACTTAACCTTTCATGTAGTATGCCACATGGTATAAGTTAATGTTATTTCAGATATTTCAGAAAAAAATGACTAAATACGAGCACGTTCAAGATATCTGGTTAACTAAAAAGATCTATGAAGATGCAGAAAATGCCCATTACGAAGGCTTGGCCAAAGTAAGTTTAATTTAATTACCTCCTAAATATCAAATCAGTGTCAATATGCTAATATTGTTTTATTAAATGGGTAGTTAACACGTCACGTTTTATAATATGTAATATAGGTACTAAGATGGAATATAATTATAATATTTATTTTTGGCATAGGCAGCCTTAACACCGTTAGCTGGAGAAGTAGCCAAAGCTCGTCAAAAGTTAATTGAAAGTAGGGACACTTTTACTGTGAGTACAGATTATCTTCTCATTTTGTTGTTTAAGAAAAAAATTATTAAAAATAAGTCACTGTATTTTACCAATTAGGCATTTTTATACAAAATTTTCAATAGATTTCAAGATTTGTGTAATTTTTAATAATTGTATAAAAAAGCTTTATCTTATAAGTTTTCAATAATATATTTTGTATTTAGACTGCTGTCGCATCAATCGACACTGGAGCCATAAAATTTATGGAAAAGAAGGTTGTAGAATTTGAAAAATGTAAGTAAATTAAAACCGTAAAAATATTAGCTTATATAAATAAAACTGATATTTTGCCAATAGTTTTTGGCCTTGTAGACCGAAATAAAGGCTAATGTTTACATTAAATGAATTATCAACTGTAAATAAATAAAAAAAACGGGAAACAAATATTTACCATCATCTAGTGTAAACGATAGGTATTTTGGTTAATCTTAAAAGTTGGAGGTCAGTAGATATAAATTTTTATTTTATTTATTTTTTTTTAGCAATGAATGATGTTTTAAGCCATTTGAAATCGTTAGACGACCGTATTTCTTCTATAGAACGACATATCCATCAATCAAAATCTATTCATGAAATAGACATAGCTGCAGCTCCTCAGCAAGAAGAAGAGGAAGATGATGGAGTAGATCTTTTTGCTTCCGATTCAGAAGAAGAAAGTGAAGCAGTTGCTAAAGTTAGAGAAGAAAGACTTGCTGCTTATGCCGCAAAAAAATCAAACAGTGAGATTAATATAACATTTCACTATATTTTGCTAATACGGAAATATTTTAGAACCGCAATTAATAGCAAAATCCAATGTAATCCTAGACATAAAACCTTGGGATGATGAAACGGATATGACAAAAATGGAAGAGCACGTACGAAAAATCAAATGTGACGGATTGTTGTGGGGCGCAGCCAAGTTGGTTCCTTTGGCTTATGGCATCCATAAATTGCAAATTTCTTGTGTAGTAGAAGATGAGAAGGTGTCAATTGATTGGTTAACAGAAAAATTACAAGAAATTGAAGATTATGTAAGAAATATTAATTTTTCAACAGAATTAGTAAATTTATATACTTACTTTTTCAGATTCAAAGTGTGGACATCGCAGCCTTCAACAAAATATAATAAATAAAGAGTGTCATGTTTCATATTAATTTTTATAAATTTTGTCTTTATTTTTTGTCAACTTTTACTATGAATATATATTTTGAATTTTTACCTTTCTTTGATTTCTTGTTACATTTCATTAAAGTTGTTTAAACTGCAAAATTAAAATGTAGAAAAATTAAAAACATCAAAAAACCTAAACATCAGAAATCCTAGAAATGGTATTACCAGAAAGATGCCTGTTTCCCCTGAATAACAATTATTTAGCTATTAAATAGATGCTATTATAGCACCAAAATAGTAGGCAATGACTCATTATCAACATGTAGATTCGTGCGAGGAATACAATTCCATGGGCGTATCATTTTAATGGGTTAAAAAAATTGTTTAATATGCAGGGTATCCCTCTTAAGAACCGACACAGAGCAGGTGCATGTAGGGGGGTCCAAAATATTGTAATTTAATCAAACTTACCTATATACAAGTTGCACCCCTGAGGAGTTATTAACCCCCAAAGTGGGGCCCTAAATTTCGAAAAAAATTAATATCTGCAATACCTTACCGCAGAAGAACTAAATTTGGTACATGATTTAGGTTTATTGCTGGTCTTCTTTGACTATGATTAAAGTTAATTCAAGGTGTTCATTGGGGATGACTCACCCCTAAAATTGTACCAAACTTTTTTTTCATTGACCGAATTAAAATTATTTTTCACAGCAGAATTTAATTTTAAATTTTTTTTTACTCTTGTTAAATTTTAAGTTGTAAGTACTCGAAAATCAGGCTTTTTTCGAAAAACAGAGTAGTAATTTGCAGAAAATTTAAAGATGAATCCGAAACTATCATAGTTGTTACCTTAAAGCAGTGGCGTACAATTTTATTTAGAAAAATATGCCACCGATACCCTGTATCTCTACCACTGGCGCATGTAAATTTTAAGAAAAGCCCTCAGATTTTGGACAATGTTTACATAAATACATGTGTCCAATTTCAATTTTTAAATTATTTAAAAAAATTAAAAAATATTTTTTGAAGTTTAACACCCTGCATCTTTTTAACCAAGCGTCCTAGATAAAAACTTTATAGGAAAGACCCCTTAATATTCACCAAAGAATACAAGGTTTCTTTTTTGGTCACAATTTGTGAATCGCTCTGTATATCCAACAGGAAGGTACTATTTAGCAATTCTGTAAAATAGAGGCAAACCATTTTTCAAATAGGAATATGGGATCTCATTTTAATTTTATCTGAATTTATATTTTATAATTTAGATAAATAAAACTTGGCATGTAATTAAGAAACATTTTATTTACAATTTAAAATAGAAATGTTAAATATAACTCAAGGTTAATTTTCCATTTAAAATTTATCGGAAAAAGTAAGAACAGCTATAAACAGATGACAATATAAAAGGAAAACTAACGTTAATATTGGGTAACAAAAAAGTATAAAAATTATAACAGGACTTACAATAGCGTATATAGTATGTATTTAAAGTTTACACTATATTCAATTTTTTTCTGACAAAATATTGGCTTTGCTTTGCTTTTCGCTGTTCTCTGCATACATTCCATTTTATACAGAACGATATAAAAATGCGTCACTATAACAATTTTTTAAAAAGCCACCCTGTATATTTAAATTATATTTAAGGTTAAAATTGTAAAAAATTTTGATTTAAAAAATCTTGTTTCTTATCTGGGCAATTTTTGTGAGGCTTTCTGTTGAAAATGTATCCATAATGTATGAATAATGTGCACACATACTTTTGACAAAGTAAACATCATAGAAAAAACAGTAAATACATACTGTATATCTAATATTATTAGGTAATCTTAAACTAAATAAATAGTTCTTTAAAAAATAGCTTTTTCTTAATGTACGAATCGGGAATGTCTCTACACAATGTAAGACGACAAACACAAACTGATAAAAATTTTAAACTTAATGTAAGTAACAAAAAATAACTCCTATGAACTGAGACTGCTTAACAATTCATTGAGCATAACAGAACCAAAAATCGTATTCTCGCAATTTACTGTCAACGTTGATGTTTCACCTTTATGAATAGTTACAAGAGTCAGATTCGACGAGGTCATGGTTTGACCTGAAAACCTATAAAAGACTCAAAGTAAGTATTGAAAATCAAATATATAAAGTATGGAAATCTCACCTAAAATATTCATTTTCAAAGTTGTCGCATGGCCCTAGATTTGTCGTTTCATTAATTCGTTCGATAATATTTGTGGGGCACTGGGGCAATGCAGTAACATGTTCATTCATGCCACGAAGTTTACCTTGTTTTTCCATAAACAAATTTGTAGGCATTTTAACAGGTCTAAGCAACTCGCCTATCTTTGGTTTTATACAAACATTAAAATTTCCTTAAATAAAGAAAAAACATTACATGAAGATAGTAGGGAAAATATTTTTATATTATTTACCTATGGAAGATACAATTTCAAAATTAGCTGGTTGTGTGGTGTCATTGAAATCGATACCCAAAGTGGCAGGAAGCGAGCAGTTCGGAGGAAGTTTTGGAATGCAAGCAAAATCGTGGACAGTCATTCCTACAGCCAAATTCTAGAAAAAACGAAAGATCAATCATTGCTTCTTAAACACACATACCCTTTTACCTTTCTTCCTAGACGAATGTCATTAATATCCTCATTTGTGTTATTAACAAAAATTATGTTAATATTTGCCATGCTGGGTGAATATAAATGAGGGCTACGAGTGAACCTGTATGTTGCTGATAATCCTCTGCCATTAATTCGGTTTAATAGTTCTACAGGCTTAGTATTCGTGAACACTGGCTGTACACTTTGCATTGTTAAGGGAGCTTCAATCGGAGTACTTGGAGTAAAGAAGCCACCCAAAGATGGAGTCATAACTGGAGCTTCGTTACTAGCATCACAAAAATCAAGTAGTAAATCCAAATTAGATTTTTTGTTCTCCACCACATTGTTTGTTGTATTTTCTTCTATAACTTTGGCTGGTTGGTGATTTGTTATCTTCTTAACAACTGTTTCATCATTATCTGAGCTCGATTCTTCATATGAAGATTCAGATTCCTCAGATGATGAATATTTTTTCCTACAAAGTAATTTTTTTAGGAAAGTAAAAAAAATACAAAGATCCTCATTTACTTTCCAGAATCTTCCTCTTCCTCCTCTACCTCAGAAGATCCTTCTTCACTAGATTCTTCTTCATCACTACCACTACTTCCTTCACTGGAAGATTCGTTACTAGAACTTTCAGAAGAACTGGTGTTGCCTCCAGAACTAGCTTCTGATTCCCACATGAACATTTCTTTACCCTTTTTGTCCTAAACATACACATAAAATAAGCTAGGATAGAAAGGAAAAAAACAGAAAATATATACCGATTTTTTATAAGATTTATTTTCTTCAGTAGCTGCAGACTCAACATTTCTGACATCTCCAGAAGGGGGATGTTCAGGAAAGGGTGGTAAAGGTTCATATCCATTAGCTCTCTGTTTAATGTAATGAGATAAGGACCCAAGTTGCAAATCTTCACTATCTGCAAAGCATCGATAACGATAAATAAATATTGCTTAATGAATCATTCACAAATATACACACCTCTAAAATGTGACTGAAGCAAAGGTGCAGGCTTGCTGGCTAAAAATATCCTCAAAGCTTGCGATTTTAATTTACCATCTTGGGCTGGTACGAACTGCTTAAGTAGTCTCGCTTTATCCCTAATATCATAATTTTGATCATAACGTGCCAAATTGAAAATGTACTGACATAATAAAGAAGTCTGTTCTGGGTTAGTTATATATAATTTAATGGCTAAATTCATCACTTGTAACTTCACAATGTCATTCTGAAATAATAAATAATATTACATATACAGGGCGTTTTAAAATTCCGCTCATTAAATAAATGGTGAAACTTTCACCCCATCCCCAAACAGTATGTTGAAAGTAAATAAACCCTAAAAAATTCATTATTTGTGATTCAAAAATATTTTACAAAAACCACTTTCAGATGCCCTCTTGGATAGTTATAATTTTTTTCCAGAGATGTTTATGCCACATGTTAACGAATTGTTTTATTACGTTATAAAGAAAAGTGAGTAGGTGGTTTACCTCATCTGAAAAAGTCTTAGCCATTTTTCTAAGTATGTCTGGAGCAATTTGCGGAACTTTCTGTGAATGTTCTCCAAGTAGCCATAAAATGGCAGCTCGTGCTTGGGCTACTGTTATGCTATCCAGCAGTCTTGCCATGTGAGTAATAATTTCTTTTGGATCAGCAGCTTGAGTTTGTAACAGTCTTTTAATGACAACTACACTTTCTGCAACTACAGCTTCTAAAAAGAAAAGAAATACATAGAAATAGTTATCATTACATATACTTGGTATTTTGAACATACCATCTCTATTAGACAATAAAGAAACCAAACCATTAAGGCACGAATCTGTGACATCAGAAATAGAACAGGCACATCGTCCAATAGCTTGTATCGTGGCTGCGACAAAATGTTTATCACTATTTGAAATATAAGTCTGCAATTCCCTCAATATAACAGAAACATTAGAATCTGTTGTTAAATTTGTAAGTATCTCCAACTTCAATAACTTTATATTTGTCGGATCTGAAGTTCTTACAAAGAAAGTCTTAAGGTAAGGTTCGAACATGCCCTTATTTTTAGCGCTTATTGAAGCAATTGCATTGAGTACGACACTCTGCACTTCAACGTGTGACCTTAGCAGTCTTACTAAAGCTTTGGCTGCTAGCGGATTTTCACTTTTTGGAGCAGCATGATGGTATAATTGGGCCACTGACATTACAACAGCTGCATTTCTAGATTGAAGAAGTGGACGAGTTGATCGTAAAAGCAAACGATGGTCTGGATCTAAACTAGTGGCTGGTTTTTCTGATGTGTCAGACCCGGAATCATAAAATTCCTTATCAGAATTCTCGTTGTCCTATTTCAAAAGCACAAAACTCAAATAATACTCAAAAAAAAAAGAAATACTTCACATAACTTTACTTTATTATAAAAATATATAACACTGACTGAATATACCTACTTGGAAATTTGGATCAGCAAAGTGGCTGCGAGCGTATCTGGTAAGCATGTTGACAATTGTCACTTGACCCCATTCATCTACATCTACTAACAAGGCACATAATTTTCTATACACTTGGTGGATTAAATCAACTCTCTCTGGACACACCTCAGTAAAAGCCATTACTGCAGATCCTATTACCAGTACAGTTTTGTCAGCTAGTAGTTTCTGTATTATTGTAACTAAATCAGATTTTAACTCGGGATCCAAACTGCATAAAAGATTTAAAAAAGTTACAATTTTCTTTTTAACGAAAAACAACGATCTACCTATATAATTTGGGTATTGCATGGGCTGCTGTTTTCCTCACATATGGTGACATATCAGAAGAAGCATCTCCTATAGCTAGCATCACAATTGGTGAAATCATTTTAACTCTTATACTAGATAACACTCTCAAAGCACCAGCTCTTATTAATTGATTTGGTTCCTAGAACAGCGAAGCTAAAGAAAAAACATTAAATTTTACAATACTCACTTTTAAAGCCCTCTGAAATGTTGATATGGACAACAGAGCAAGATCTTGCTGCTCCTCAGCATATCGTTCTAGATATACGTATACCAGTTTTTTTACCTCAATGTTCTTTGAAACAACATTTTTAACTACAGCTGGAAATAACATGGAAGCATCTCGACCTTTTGCAACCATCTATAAATAAAAGCAGTAAGAAGATGTTACACTGTAGACACTAGAAAACATTTACCCCAATTATGCGCTTCATTGCCTCCAGTTTGAGGCTATCTTTATTTGAATCCAACATTTCTTTAAGATCATCATGTCTAAAATATACAAAATACAATACAAATAACACAGAGATAGGATTAAATTAATTACTTTTTAAAATCTGTGTGAAAAAATCCTCCTGAAGCAGGGTCAACTGCATATTCAGTTTCAAAACTAGATCCCCGATCATTTGAATAAGAACTATTATTTGACATATTATGCGATGAAGATGATAACATTTCAAAAATATATTATTCAATTTATAAATTATTTCTATTTAATAAAATTCGGTAAATTTTCACATTGACAACTGACACGTCTCAGACATATCTACACATTTCTATCTAATGAAATGTCAAAAACTGCAGAATGCAGGCTTTTTTCATAACCATTTGTTTCAATGTACTGTTACAACCATTCCAAGTATGTTTCATTTCAAAACATATAATGACGTCATGAAAATGTATTCATTCATATATCGGACTAATTGAGATACAAAGTCAAGAAATGTCATTTTTTTTTTATAAAAAAAGTTACACAATATCAAGTTCAAATTATAGTCATCAAAAATCTAAATTTTATTTCAATTTATTATAACCAGTGCATTGCAAAAAATAGCCTACAGCCAACCTACGCCCACTGACCTCTATTAGAAAAATTGGAGCTCAGTGCCTCACCCTACCACTGGTACCACCACTACTGCATTCTGCATTTGTAGTTTGTGTTTGTAGGTTAGCTGAAGTGTCAAATTATAAATTGTACATTTTTAAAAATCTATCAAACGTCATGGCAGAGAAAACTGCAAAAGAAAAAACTATAGCATCTCAGTATGCAGAATTAAATCGTTTTGGTCAAAATGGAGAATATGAAAGAGCGCTGAAAGCTGCTAATAAAAGTAACATCTTTTGTAATAACCTAAAAAAAACATATGGATGATTTTTATTATTTTAGTTCTTGGAGTTGCCCCTAACGAGTTGCCTGCTTTCCAATGCAAGGTAGTATGTCTGATACAATTATCCAGATTTGAAGAAGCAATATCTCTTCTCAACAAGAATTCGCATTTTTTACAGTAAGCTGTCAAAATGTACGTTCAACAGTAATTTAATAGTATTTTATTTTAGAAGCCTAATTTTTGAAAAAGCCTATTGTTATTACCGGGCAAACAAACCTGAAGAAGCTTTGAGAACGATCAGACAAAGTGAGGAAGAAATAGATTTTCGAACTAAGGAACTCAAAGCACAAATTTTATATCGGTTAGAAAATTTTGACGAAGCTGCTAAAATTTATCATGAAATCATCAAAAATACCGATGATGATTATGAAGATGAAAGATATACTAATCTAAGTGCCGTAATGGTTTATTTGGAAGAAAATGTAAGTATCGTATTAATAATTTACGCACAGTTAAGTGTACTGGGTTAGGCTCAAGTACAATTGATACAGAATTTTTTGAAGAATGGGCTCTATTTGTTTTATGCTTGATGTTCTAGCTCTCTTAATCTGTTGCACATGCTGCATTATAATCTCTGACTGGCCAGCCCTGTATATAGATTTTATGTTTTAGGAAAGTAATATTGATAATCTAGGCGATAATACTTACGAGTTGTGCTATAACAAAGCGTGCTTGTTAATTGCCAATGGAAACTATACTGAAGCAGAAAAGAAACTGCGACAGTGCGAGAAGTTATGTAGGGAAGCACTGGAAGACGATGAAGCTACTGAAGAAGAAATAGATATTGAATTGGCTCTTATAAGGTAAATATATTAGTTAATATTGATTTTATTTTAACTTGCAATTAATTTACAGAATACAGTTAGGATTTGTTTATCAAAAACAGGGTAGAATTAAGGAAGCTCATCAGTTATACACAGCTAATCTGAAAACTAAACTGGATGACATAGCCTTAATGGCAGTAGCCAGTAACAATGTTGTTTGCATAAACAAAGATCAAAATCTGTTCGATTCGAAGAAAAAAATGAAAGTGGCTTTAAATGAAGCATTACTTTATAAACTACCTTCGAAGCAGAGAAAGTACATAGCACTGAATAATGCTATATTTAACTACTACATAAATCAAACTGATCAGTGTGAGAAAGTTTGTAATAATATAGAAGAAACTTGGCCTGAATTAAAAGTGCAGACTGTTATTATCAGGGCTTTAAATTTACTCAAATCGGGTAATACAAAGGAAGCTATTAAACTACTAAAAAAATGTAATGAGGAAAACGATACATTATATATTAATCTGTGTATCGCTCAGCTACATTTAATGCAGGTAGATGTATAATTTCAATTTGTATATTACACGGTACATACAATATATTTTTTTCAGGGTGAAAAATTAGAGGCTTGTAGAGTTTTAGAAGATCTTGGAGAAGACAGCTATAAACCAGGAATTGTTGGAGCTTTAACAACTTTATATCTAGGAAGTGGAGAGGAGGAAACTGCACTTAAAGTGTTTGAAAAAACGGTTGAATTTTATAAGAAGAATAAAGTATTCCTTGAAAAAAATATTATATATATTATTTTTTAATAATTGATTTTTTCAGCTGAAAGGTGTTGATTTGTCCAGCTTATGGAGACAAGCTGCCGAGTTTCATATTAAAAATGGTCATCCTCAAGTAGCCGCAAATAGTTTAGAAGAGTTGTTGAGAGCAAATAAAGACGACAAAAAAATTGCTGCTCAGCTAGTGCTTGCTTGCTCACAGGTAACAATACACTTTATTTTTGCTAAAATTAAAATAACGTAAATTAAATTAGAAACTCATTAATTATCGATTATCAAAAATATCGAAGTATATCTATTATTTATTTGTTTTTTCCTGCTCTGAATCATTGGTATAATATAGGTACAATTAACTTTGAAAATTATAAGTAAGTATTTGAATTTTAGTAATTTTTGCTTGTGCCTTGTTTTAAAAATTGCATATAAAGTATTGTTCCTTGGTTCTTTACAAACTTTCTCAGTTTTCCCACTGTCCTCTTTTGTAGGAAATAGTTAGCTATTTTTTAATTAGATCCTTAATTTGATTGAGATGACCTTTTTCCCTAGTGCATACTGCAAAAGTATATAATCAATATCTTCCTTTCCAACTAAGCTGTACCCCAGGTCTAGATAATAACGTTGAATATACCATGTATAAAGCTGCTTATACATATAACTAATTGCTTTGTTTGAAAAAAAAAAAATTTCGCTCCATTGACAAAATATTGTTCTAAATATTGGAAAAAAAATTCTCACCAAATTTAAGCTTTTAATTTTAATTGATTTTAAAATTTTCCCATTCATTTAAGGAGGGAGTAAACTACCTTAACACTTTTGAAAAATCAAAATATTTTTTTTTTTCGCTTAAAATGTACCTTAGTATCGTAAAAATCACGTAGCAAAGTTTTGTAAGTATCGCGAATTGGAGCATTTGTTTGCCACGTGATATTGAAGGTATATAATAAGATATAATACCATACAATCGTCATGATAAAAGATTAAAAGCACCTTGAATTGTTTCTTATTTTTTAGTACTTAAAATTTTAAACGCGTTTTTTTCGAAAGAACAAATTTTAAGCCGGTCGAACCGATATCTTGAACAATTTTTGTTCGATTGGCTTAAAATTTTAACTGAATATTTAAAACTACTTTCTCCTTGACAGTACTTAGGATTTTTTTTTTATAATGCATAGTTCAATTTTTAATAACGATTTTCGAGTGATATATTTAGTTTTTTTGAACTTTTTTCAAAAACACGCCATTTTCGCAAAAATCAATTTAAAAAAAAATCTACGTACCGTTGTAGCTAATACCATCTTAAACAAAATTTTCTTGGCTCATGATTGTATCTTTAAATTTGCGAGTTATTGGTTGGGTCACACAGCCATAAAAAAAAAAGATGCCCAGAGAAAAATACTGAGAAGCCGCCATTTTGATGTTTACAGCTCCGAAAAAGTTTAAAAACACTTCAATAGTTATATAATAAAGAACTTTTTACCAAATTTCGATATGTTGTTTAGTTTTTTTGAAAAAAGTTCCCGAAATTTTCTCCGTTTTTCAGCCTTTAGAGTGGTTTACCCCCTTAACACTTAAACTTACCTTTTTTTTTTAATTATCAATATCTCGGCTGCATTTCACGTCAATTTATTGTTTATAGGCGATTATTATAGGGGAATCGTTGTTCTTTGAAAGTGCTCATAGTAACTTCTATAAAAAAGGGTCCTCAGTAGCTAAGCTTAAATACAGAGTAGCGAAGTTTTCTTTCGAGAGCGACATAGCGGCGAAAAAACAAATTTGGTCAAAATGTACCATTTTTTGATTAATAGTTTTGAGTAAATTGTAACAAAGAGTAAAAAGTAATAAATAATTTTTAATTCCATGACAATAAATCTATAAAATTATATACTTTTTATTTAAGACGTTGACAAAATTAAGTTTTCCTGTTTATTTTTGTTTTTAAAACATTTTTTTACATAAAAATGATAATTATAATGAAATTCATTGAATCGGGAAAAATAAATTTTTATTGTTAGTTTTTATGTACTTGTAATTTTGCTGGAAATAACAGGCACTACTGTTATTGACTGAAATCATTTTTTTTTTAGTTTGATAAACAAAGAGCTTTGAGCCTTAGCAAGGGCCTACCGACAGTTAAAGAGTTATCAAAAGATGTTGATCTAGAAAACCTTCAAACGATTGTTTCTAATACCGTCAGTTACAAGAAAAGCCCTGCTGTTAAGCCTGAGTCATTACCGGGGTAAAGACTTTTAATGTTTTGTATACCTTTATAGTAATTTAAAACATTTTAGGACTCCTCGCGAAGATGCTGATAAGAAAACTAAAAAGCATAAGAAACGTAAAGGAAAACTACCCAAAAATTATGATGCTAGTGCTCAACCGGATCCGGAACGATGGCTTCCAAGATATGAACGGAGCGGTTATAGGAAAAAGCGTGACCGTAGGGTAAAAGAGGTCATCAAAGGGTCACAAGGAACTGCTTTTGGACAAGCAGAACAATAGTAAGTAAAGCTAACAAAATACGACGATCTCTTTTACGACGCTAATTTTTTTCAGTGATTTTTCGAAATATGTGGAAGAAGCAGCTGAGAGTTCTAGCTCTACTGTCGAACCCTCTCCGAGAGTTTTAAAGGGGCAGCAGCATTCCAAAAAGGCTCAGCAAAAACGAAAAAATAAGAGACGATAATTTTTGTTACTTGAGTTACTAATTTGTAATATTAATGAATTTAAAAATTGTATTTGATTTCTAATTTTTTTTGCAAATATATTTTGGAAAACGACAAAAAATTAAAGATGTGTTATTTCCTTCTCATACGTAAGCTACGGAATAATTTGGAAATTTGTTACATTTGATTCCTAATTATTTTTCTAAGAAAAAAACTTGTTTTATTTACAGAACTTATTTTCGAGTTTTTATATTTTAATCTAAAATAGGCTTACAGCAGTCGAAGAAATCGGCAGTAACTCTAAAACTACTCGTTTGATAGAAAAAATCGGGGGATTTTTTGCTGATATACAAATTCAAATACATTTTCGTCATCAAAAGTCCTAAAAAGTAATTGGTGTAGAGATTTTAAATTTTCTAAGGCTCCCAAACCAAAATCAAAATTTGATTTTTTTGGACCTTTAACAATCACATTGTATTTAAAAAAGAAAAAACGCAAGCTAATGAAACAAATTAGTTTTTGTCGATTTATCTAAATGTGAGGCAAACTTATGTAAAAAAATAATATATGGCTTGTTTTCCGAATAAAATGGAAGAAGCGTGTTTTCCCTGAAATTCAGTAAAAATCAAATATACTGCTTGAATTTCAAAACATTCAACGAATCTAAAAACTTAACCCTTAGTGGCAATGTCTTCCGATGTCTCCACCACCTGGTTCTCATAATTCTATGCAAATTCACTGAATTTTTACCTTTACTTAGTTAAGTCACTAACCTTAGTTCACGAGTCGACATAAAATGTTTTCAGAGATGTTTGGCAAATGTAATATTTTTCAAAAATAATACCCCGTATTTCGGAAACTAAACCATATAGACCAGAGATTCAAACAATTTTTTCGTAGAACGATTCCGAGAATTATTTTTACCATTAAGTTACAGCTGAAGGTCGAAGAAAGGATAATGGAAGGGAAGGAGCGTTAAAAATGTTTCATGATAAATCGGAGCAAGCTGCCTAAAAAATGTAGAGAATCACTGAATAGTAGTGTTTTTTCCCAATATTTTTTTTTTTGACCATCGTAAGTGCATTAATTTCGACAGGCCCGGATCTAAGGGTTACGGGGCCTTGGCAAGATCTTGTAAAATCAAACCAAAACGTCTGAAGATGCTGTATAAAAACAAAATAAACCACAAATCTCAAATCTAACTACTTATATCGGTAACCCGCTGATTGCGTGACCTTTTTTTCGAGCTTGAAGCCCCAGGCCCCACTATAGGTTAATACGGCCCTGAATTTCGATTTACAATATCGTCCAAAATTTATAAATGATTCTCTATCTAGGTATATCTATTAAAATAAACCTGTATAACTTTATGCCAGTAAAATTAAAAATAATTACGCAGAAAAATCAAATAAATATACCTACTCCATTTCTTTCGACAAATGCAAAGAAAGCGCTATATTTCATCCCTGATTCGCATAACACAAAAATAGGCCAACTAGAACATAAAGTGCGATTTAATCTAAATTCGGCCCTCAACTGTTTCGGGTAGGTTATAAATGCAGACGATTTTCGACCAAAATGATACGTCAATAAGAGAGCCTTCTCTAAATAAAAACAACCCCGCTACACTGCGTATTAAATTTATAAATATATAGGTCAGCAATTACCCCTGACTTAATCATTTATTCCTCTGATCAATAAAATTACCGAGGTAGGTATGCACGTGAAATCAAACCGGTCATATGATAAAAGTCTAACAATTTTCATTACAGCGGGCAAGGTTTATTCCACCAAACAAATATTGTCAGTATTTTTTAATTTTATGTTTGTACTTATCTAGCCAATATATTGTAGTAATCAATATCTTATTGTATACCTCGCGGCTAGATGATAAAGTAACAATAAAAATAAATTTAGTCACTCTACCAGGCACCTATACGTATTTTATTTTTAGAACGGCATAGTCAGACCAAAAATACAAATAACCCGCTATTAACGAAACTAAAATGCTTTTCCAAGCTGCTCATATGAAATAAACGACATTGAATGTGAAATTACGCTAACATAAAAATAAAATTCATTAATTTTTTTATGTATCTAAAACGCGAAATTAAAAAAATGGTAGGTAGGTGTATTCGTATTACAGTATTCATAATAACATTTTGAGATAATACTTCAGGTGTTTTACTTTATATAGAGCCAATTTAAAAATAATGAGTATTGAGTACGAGAAACGTAGGGACGTTAAGTAGCAATTAAAAATTGATGTAACGACCGAGTGAATGTGCCTCCCTCTATCGGGACGAGTTGGAGGTTATTTACAAATAGTAGTGTTGCTTCATCCATATGTCGTCATCAGCTGTTCGATCCCGTGCGCACGCATTTGGAGCTCGTGGACGTCAGCAACGATAAACGGAAAAGTATAGCGACGTAGCCGCGCAAGCTCAGCCAATGCAATCTTTGGCAGGCTCTGAGATCGTTGGGGATCGTTGAGACTCGGGAATCGTGGTCCTCATCGCAAACTAGTGACACTAACATGAAAGTGGGCTGGTGGTTCACTGGTTGAGTGTTCAGACGAGTGTATGTGTATGACATAACGAAGATACGGGACACCGTAACCGGCCTTTAGTCAGTGACGTACACTAATGGGGGAATTTAGTTTGAGTGGTAATGCGAACATCGGTTTAAGTGCAGTGGAGATATCCATAAATTCAGCGAAGAGCAATCAAAACACGTTATTCTACACCACACCTACGTCAACGACGACAAGTGGAAGCGGTGGCACAGGCTGCGAAAACATCCTCCAGGCCAAGAGTTATAGTTCAACAATGCAAGATGAGCTCACTGACAAGGCTGTCGCGGCTGTCAGTGTTAGTGGAGCCAACACAGACGAGTTATCAAGCAGTGCGGTTGGATCGACAGTCACATCATCCTCGTCCGACAAGAATACGGTGGCAACTGTCTCCAAAGACTGTGAGATATCGTCAAACTCCTCTGTAAACGATCTTACAGACAAACTAAACGAACAGGTGGCTCAAACGACGAAAACAGTACCTTCTCTTCCGCCTCTATTCCATCCAGCTGAGCCTAGCACCCCAGCTGGAGCACTCTGGTCCACAGCTATCGAAGACGGTTACGTACCTAACCTAGCTAGTGTGAACGGTGGCATGGGGTTTCAGAACTTTCCATCCCCTACACAACAACAGTTGTTTGGTAACAACCTGAATCAGAACCAAGTGAATCAGGGTCGAAGAGCTATTACTGCGAGTCACAATTTCCCCCATAACATGGGAAGGCAGCAATCAATGTCTAGTCATCCTCTTTACAAAAATTATAGTTCTTGGGCCAATCCCCCAGGCCAGAACTGGGCCCCGGGGAACTCCTCCGTCTGGAACCGTGGCCGGAGTGTTCCAAATCTAACTCCCTTGCAACAAATGGGAGTAAGTCTCGCGGGTCGTAAACCTAGTCCCACTTTCAACCAGCAGCAAGTCATCTCGCCTGTTAAATTCAGGAGGAGTACCTCCTACCCCGGAAAAGGCCCTTTTCCTCAGCCACCCACTTTCGAAATCACCAACATGGATGAAGCTAGAGAACTGCTTCCCTATCAGGTAATGTGTGGCACTTGACCTTTTGACCAAAGAGCACCGTTATGATTGTGACTGTGATGCCATTGCCAAATTCGCCCCATATGCTAGTTAGATATTTTTATTTTGAATTGTTTGTGCTGTTGTCATCTGCTTGCTGTGCTATCGCTGACGCTGATATGCTGATATATTTGTAATCCCGTATCTGTACCTGTCTCATCATCAACCATTTAGATCCACTTGATCCTCTATTTAGTATTGTCTCTATTGTAAATGTGATTTTTGTACAATAAACATTAACTCAACATTTTTGTTACGTTTTTTTTTATTTATTTTATTCATCTAGTAACATTATGAAATTTTGAACTCAATACTGACTAAATGCCTCTCGTCCATTATTACTTTTGTTTGTGCCTCGTTTTTTGTTTGCTTTTGATGTCATTAAAAACTCATATTGTACTGTACGGTATGAATAAAACCAAACTCGCATGGTAAACATGGATGAAAATAATAATTTAAAATTTAATACATCTACAATTACTTTTTTTTTCAGTAAAAGTTACATTCATCAGAAAAATTTTAATTTTCTAAATTGTGGCATGCTGAAAATTGTAGACATATGCTGTGGAATGCTACTCTAGATAATTAAAATTAAGACGTCTTCATTGAAACTGCAATTCGCAAATTAATTATACATCAGAACAGAAAACAATATAGTCATATGATAAATATTATAAATATTGACTCAGGAATTTTTATTCTCGAGGCTAATCTTATCAGGCGCACTCGGTTTTTGATATTAAAAATAAAGTTACTGGGTAAATATCTGGTATCAGGTGTACACTTATTACGTGTGAACATTATACGTTCTTTAGAATTCGGATTGCAGTATCTCGCGTACAGAAAATTTACATTGGATATATTCCCATGACAGATTTTTACCTTGAATTTCGTGATAAGACAAAAATATATCGAATATTTTTCGTTAGAGGAAATCTAACCGATGTTAAATAACTTCTAACCATAAATTTAACTGAATTATTGAAATAGTATCGTCCAGATCGGAGAATATAGGGTAGAATTAACGAGGTTTTGCTGTTCCCTTCATTCCTGCGCTTAACATGAGTTGTTTCAAGGGGCAAATACAACCTATAGAATCATAATATGTTGCTTGCTCTTCCGCATTAAGTTCCACTTCTGGGTTAAAATCTGTGGTTAGAATTGGAAATAGAAATATTGTTAGGTATTCCTATATGTCAATATCATCCTAAGAAATGGAAAATCAATCACTTTCGACAAACCTTAAAATAATTTTAATGGAATTCGATCATTTATGTTCTTTTTGGTTATTACTCAAAACACTAAAATATTGATGCTAAAGTATGGGTTCCGTGTTCTGTTATATAAATGCGGGAGAAAAACAATGAAAATTATCTTTAAAATAAGAATAAAATATTCGTTCTATTCACAAAGGCCAAAGAAGGCACAAAAGCTAATGTCATGGTGTGAGAATATGTAGGTTATTTATTCTATAGATTATACTATCTGGTTTTATTATTTTTTGAACCCCTTACATTATAAAAATAATAATAGCGTACTTCTGGAATGAACATCATATTTCCTTTGTGGGGTAGGTAAAAATTATAATTAACAATAAAAAATATTTCATTATTTAGCTGCTCTCAGACTCTATTATTTATCGATTATAAACAACAATGTCAGTAATTAGCTAATTGTTCATCTTTTAAAATTTTACGTCTGTATAATAAGGATAAAATTTGAGATACCGGATACCCAGATTTTTAATAAATAATTTCCAAGAGATTTTCCGAAAGAGCGCTTATAAAATTATTACCAATTGGATCATATTAGTTGGCCCAACAAGTATATCTAGAAGGCCATTGAAGAAAATATACATATCTGGATTGCGAGCCTAAAAAGATTTAGAGGGGTGCCCTCGTTCTTAATAGGCCACACTGTAAAACTTACTACAATTCAAAACTGTAAGCTATAATAGGCGTAATGCGCTTCAACTTCAAAGAAAGAGAGGTTCCATATTACCACCCTTTCCTCTAACAAGCAATTTCCAACAATTCTGACTATCTCCAGCATCGTTCCACGTGGGAAAAATGTATTTATAGTTGGGTGTGCGTTAAATGGGCGTTTATCAAGCAAGTAATCCTTATAAGAACCATTTGAATATGTAAATTGGACTGAAAAAAAAATCAATGACCTTATAAAGCCATGGTTATTTGGACACCTTCTTAATAAAATCGATACGAGGACGATATAAACAAATAATTTGTCATTTAAAGCAAAATTCACATTAAAGTTTTCATATGTGCTATGTTTATAGTCGCTAGACTGTCAGGTGAGGTACGCATCGTTCTGAAAATAGAATATGGCCCTGAGTTCACATAGGATAAGCTATATATAAATAAGCAGAGATCTGGTATTCCATTTCCCAGTAGCGTCGTGCTATGCTGTGGTCATTACTTGCTTTCCTCCGAACGGGGATGAAAATAATCATTTTAATACAAAAATTACAGTACATATTAGAGAAAAGCAAGTGACAGATATCTGTAAATTTTAGAAATTCCAAAATATGAACGTCTTTTATTGACATACAGGATGATTTTTATTAGAGAAAAAACAATAAAAAAGACAATTTTTGCACATACATTGAGGAAGACGATTTTTTATATAAAATTTTTTATCCATCGAAAAAAAAAGAGAAAATTAAACGTTTGCTCATTTTACTCAAAAACTGTGTAGTATAGTAATTTATACGCGTTGCAATTAATGGGCCAATTCGTTAATCAAATTTAAGGCCGCCAACTTTCACCAACTAAGTCACTAAAAATATCAAATTGGCCTATAAATTAGAACCACTCTCATGATCGAAGATAGAAACATTATCAAATTTGATATGTACTAATATAACTTGATTAATTTATAGGATCAAAAAATGGTAAAGCAAAATAGGCGTAAAAACGTGTTGCACAGGTGAAATATGTAAAATGTAAATGTAAAATTTTCTAGGGATTTTTCAAAACCGATTTTTCAATGAAGAATGCGTGGATTCTAAGAATGTCATCGAAATACATATTGAACAAAAACACTTAAATATATGCAGTAAATAATATTAAACTTGCCATTTTTTTTGTTCCAAGATATAATTCTGAGAGGCAAAAAATATATTTATATAAAACGTGGTAATTTACTTAGAAGACTAGGTCACTTCAATATTTGTACTTTATTTTGAATCGCCCTGTATATCACATTTAAATAAAGTACAATGTTATAGATTGCAAAAAATTGCCATCAAATAATAAAGAAATTATTAAGAAAATGTCGCGTTGCTGTATTAAAGAATAGAGTCTTTTATAATAAAGTATACTGTGACTATTCTAAAACAATACTGTAAAAATGTATGTCAATAAAATGTTCATACTAAAACAAGGGTTTAGAACAGGGAAAAACATGTTTTCTTTGTTTCTGCCAAAAATTTTTATAGTGTGCCACGATATGAGAAATAATAAATAAAATCCAACATTTTGTTAAAAAGTTACAACACAAATTAATTTTGTTTTGTAAAAGTATTTAAACGTTTGAATATTAAATATTTCGCCACAATATAATTTGGCTGATGCCCCGTTAATTAACAAATTAAAACATAGGTACTTTTTACTTTTCAATTATTTGTTCAATTAACAAAAACAATTAAACTGCACGAAAGCTTTAATAAAAAGTTTAACTACTGATAAATTAAGTGCAATAATATGGAAAAGATTTTAGTGACCTACGAATCAGCTCAAAGAGCTTACATTAATCTATTACTGACATTTATTTGGGACCATTTAACTACGAACTTTCAGCATCCAACAGTTTTACGGAATATGAGATAATTTATTTCAAATTTATATTTCATTTAAAATAAATTATCAATTATTTAAAAAGATGCTTCTGGAACATGATTTTTAATTCTTTCAATTTACCGTCAAACTCTTAAAGACGAACGGCACTGTTCAATAAATAGTTTTCTAGAATTTTTAAAGGTGCAGAAATCATTGTCTATTCATAAAAAAATCTAATAAAAATATTTCAACTTCTGCCCGTCACTATGTATAGGATGAGGCAACTATAGCAACTATACTAAGACAACTTTGCTTAGCCTACTTTGTTTTAAGTCCTGCTGTTCGAATTACGTGATACTTTCAATTAGTAATATATCTTTCAAATTAAAATAGAATCAATTTTTACCAATGCGTTATCTTCTTTCGATTGCATCCATCTCTGAACTTAATTTGTATCAGTTAATGCCTACCACTTAGAATATAATTTGATCTACTTAGACCTTTATTAAGGCATGGGGCTTCTTTTCCGTACAGCTTTCTTTCGTTTAATACTTTTTCGATTCAATTTGTACATTTTTTAATGGAATCGACAATATCGTAAGGACTCACAGTGATTCATCTCTTAGTACCTAGACTGAACAATTGTATAATTTTTAGACAATAATTTTTGGGGTTAGCTATAATTTTTATCAAGGAAATTTTAAAAAATCAAAGAAACATCATTACTCATACCCGTCAAGTAAAATATGAAAAAAAATACCTTTTTGAAGTAACTGAAAACGGAAATATTGTCATATATAGGTTATTATGAGAGATACAGTTTTGATTTCTTGAACAATCCAGTTGGCAATATTTCGAAAACTCAATAAAAAACATCCTGCACCTTAAATATTTTTATGGAAATTGTATTCTTTTTCACAGCATCAATAAATTAATAAATATGTTGAGCGAAAACATTAAAAAACGAATATGGCGGAAATATGCCTTAAATCATTTGCAATGCGCCAAACCTAAAACTCTTCACGCGGATGTATTTATAAATAGCCACTTTAGATTGCTTAATTTTGTATTAAACTGAATAAACAAATAAATGTGGATCATTACCGTTCCCCATCGGTGCATTTTCCACTTCAGAAATGAAAAAAAAAGTTAGAAACCGAACCCAAAGTGAAGAGAGGGGTGTTGAAATTTGTAAGTAAAAATAAGTGAAACCTCTGTCTCAAACAACGTAATAATAATTGTAGTGGTTATATAATCGTTTAAATACTTTCTTATTGTTAAATATTTATAAACTTCCTATGAATACATTACATCTAACGTTTATACAGGGTCCGCCATAAGTTTTATATCATAATTTTTTTTATCGAATAGAGCACGTGTTTAAAACTGGATACGACAAATTGAAACTTCAACAATTTATTCCGCAACTTATTTCAGTTTAATGTTTTATTAAATTAATAGACACATAATATAAAAGCTAAATTTATTATCATTGGATGGCTATTAAAACAGACCAGAAGTTCCCAAAATTGACCAATAAAAGATTAGAACCAGGGCTACCGTGTCCAATTTATTTAAGCTAGGAAATTTGCCATGTACTAATAAAACTTGGCCAATTTATTCACAAATTTATTGTGTCAAAACCAAGAAAAAGGAAATAGGAAAAGTGAGTGAGATTTGTTTATAATCCTCACGACTAAAAATGCCTTAAAAATGAAAATTAAATAATTACTAGAAGGCTTTTTTGAAATTTAAAGAAGTAACGCAAAATTTGTATATACTTTTTTTTACTAATTACTAATTGACAGTCAAACTTTTCAAATCTAATAAAGCTGACGTGACATTCATTGATTATAATTTTATACAGTTAAGCATGCAACTATGTAAACCTTTACTTTCTTTTAAACAATTCAAATCACGACCGACGTACCCGCCCGATGATACAATTTTCCTGTAGTTTGAAAGTATTTTGCAATGTCATTTATTTAAGTTATATGTATCTGTGTCGTAATCCTCTTACGCATCTTGTATGCTAACGTCAAAGGTGGGATAAGTAAAAAATCTATTTTCGTGGTGTTGCTGCTAATATTACCTCCACGCTAAGGCCCAGACCTAAGGTCGTCATACTTGGCCCAAAGTCTCACTCATTAACGTTATTGTTCGCTGGCATTGCAGTGTTCCACTAGGACTAAACTGAGTAACTTTCCAATGAGTTTGTGAAGTTGTGCACAAAACTCTAGATGCCGCCAAGGTGGGGAAATTTCCACGTATTTAGGGGGTTTCCCCTATTCGTCCTGGAAAATCTTTACCCCTGTCGATTTTTTAATTTTTTTTACTGTAAAAGCGTCTACAATTTAGTTTTCTTAAATCTGTATAAAAATTTCGTTTCAAAAGATACAATATTTTTAAAACAATTAATTCAATCACTTCTAAAAAAATTAATAGTAAAAAAAGTTTTTGTATAGCTGTACCCTGCCTGATCATGGTGTAGAGGAAAAAAAAAAAAAAATAATAATNATATTTCTATTTAACAATGAGAAAATGTAAACATAAGACGAATAAGTTGGTACACGTGAATATAATATTCTACGTATACTACCATACCAGAAATAATGCCATACCATTGAACAGTGCTCCCTAACGTTCTTGGATAATTAAAAATGAGGTAATAATAATAATAATAATATCTTTACTTCTCATTCTAACTACGAGAATTAGCAATAATTGAATTTTTAATTTTTAAGAATAGGTACTTACTAAACGATGGGCACCCTGTATAAGTATTCAGATGTGATATCAAAATCTGTAGAAAATAACGTTAAAATATCAGAACAATATTTCTTGTATCAAAAATTCTGCGTAAAAGACATTAAATGGGAAAGCATATATTATTAATTGAAAAATATATATAAATTTGATATACCGAGATCGACATTATCAAGCTGCATCTTCATTTTAGATTTAAATTCAGTTTTTGGAGAGAAAAATAGGTTACAACTTTTAGGAGGTCCTAAAGACAAAATCGCGATAAAGAAAATTCGACGATTTATGAGATTGGATGCAAGGCATGTGATCAGGGGTATGTAGGTCAGACAAAGAGATCAATATTAACCAGATTCATAGAGAATGGAAGAGTATTTTACTCCCTTGGAAGATGACATAACAAGAAAATCTTGTGTACTGCACATTTAATTTCATTCTGCGCTACAAAGTTACAAAAAAACATTTCTTGAAATAATTGTTTTAAAATTACTACGCCACTGTCTTCGACGTCCTTCAGAACGCACTAAATTGCATTAGAAAATATCGCGCAAAAAAATTCATGCAAGAATAACTCCCCAATTTTGTACAAATAAAATCGACAACGTGCTCAAATCAGTGGCGTACATGGAAAAGTCTGTAGCTAATACGTTTTAGTGGAAATTTAAAAATCACCCCGCCTATCCAAAAATTTTGAGGGAGGATTTTTTTAAGTCGTCATTCGGCCCAGGATAACGTAATTAAAATACGTTAATGTACTACGTCACAAATGAATAAAACATTGTTTCTATAAACATGAGCTCGGGAACGTTTAGTTTTCGAGAAATTTGGCATGTAGCATGAAGTTTTCATTGCCCACAAACGTATATGCATGACACAGGTTTCTTATTGCATCGTTTTCGAGATAAATGATAAAATGTTAGACGATGAATAGGTAATTATTGCTGAAAGCTTGAAATTCGTTATCTTCGAAATAAAAATAGTATTATTCAAGTAATTACTTTATCTACGAACAAATTATAAATCATTCACGTGATTTACCTCAATTGCTTTATGCAACTTGAAATAAATCTCACGTTTTATTAATTTTGAACCCCCGCATATCGTAAACGAATGATTCCGGTCACATGGTTTATAGGAGCTTATTTTGTTAATTCGTGTCGTAGAATCCGTCACACAAATTTGGCCATTTTACTTAAACCCCCTGTATGTAGATACGCAAATAAATCATACATTTAAGATAAGCTTATTACAACCTTATTATAAACTAAAATAAAATGCTTTGCACTTAAATAAAATGAAAAATACTAACACGCAAATAAATGTATCTTTGATTCAAGAATTTGTGTGTGTATGCTGTAGTCTTCCAAAAAGTACGGTAGGCCACTGGAAAAATATGTTTTTGTATAAATAAGCAATTTGGGCAGATCACAAATTAAGGATTATACAGAAAGTCAAAAAGGATTTAAGAATATTTTCTTATGTAAATATTTGCCCATGAAACTTTTGTTTTTTATATACAGTATACAGGGTGTTAAATGTTCACATTGTTATTAGTTATTTAACAGGTAACACCGAAAGTGGCCACAATTTTAGAAATTTAAATGAGACTTAGATTTTTTTCTTATTTCAGTTAAAAATTACATTATAAATTATTTTAGTTGAAATCTATTTCATCGATATTAAATTTTAAATTTTAATTTAATTCTAGATTTGTAATTTTTTTAATTAATAGAAAAATGACTGAGATATCCCTTGATTGTTAAAAAATAAGTAATCTAGATAGCTTGTTGTCATCATCTTTTTAAGAAAAAATATATCTAGATGGCTAAAAAAATTAAAAACGTGATCTTGAAACAAATTTTACTTCAATAGCAGTGTTTAAAATTTAAAAATAAATTAAACCGAAATAAGCAAATAATATACAGTGTTCCATTTAAAAATAAAAAATTTGAGTCACTTTCCATTAAACTCGAAATAATAGAAAAATTATTTGATTATAAAATTAGTCATATGTTTCTCACCCCGTATATCAAAAATTAAAAAAATATTTAATTGGTTAAAAAAACTGATTTTTTTTAATTAATAGAAAAATGACTGAGATGACTTGATTGTTAAAAATTAAGTAATCTAGATAGCTTGTCATCATCTTTTTAAGAAAAAATATATCTAGATGGCTAAAAAAAATTAAAAACGTGATCTTGAAACAAATTTTACTTCAATAACATAGTGTTTAAAATTTAAAAATAAATTAAACCGAAATAAGCACATAATATACAGTGTTCCATTTAAAAATAAAAAATTTGAGTCACTTTCCATTAAACTCGAAATAATAGAAAAATTATTTGATTATAAAATTAGTCGTTTCTCACCCCGTATATCAAAAATTAAAAAAATATTTAATTGGTTAAAAAAACTGAATGACATCAATAAATAAGTCAAACATTTTAGACATTTTTCTGATATACTTAACGTTATATATATTAACAATAAACATTTTTATTTTATTTTATTTATCTCAAATATGGCTCCATATCCCCCCAAGATCTTATCTTGGGAATAGTAGCAGTTGCGTCGCTATAATATTTGAACATCGAGGTGTCTCATCTCGTGAGTCAATTTTTTTCATTAGCAACATTGTTTTTTTAAACAATTCGGGTCTAAAATCAAAACTATTGATAAAAGGATCTACAAAATACCTTAGATTAAAATCGGGTAAATTGTTTGAAAGTTATTGCACAAAAACATAAAAAAAAACGTGGAAAAACAGCATTGTTTTAATTATCCATAACTTGGTTGTTATTTGTTGGAATTTTATAAATATGCCTAAAAGTTGTGAGTTACGAAATATACGCAATAAAATGACCTACCAAATGCCGCCTGATAGATTAAAATCGGATAAATTGTTTAAAAGTTATTGCAAAAAAACATTAAAAAAAAACGCGGAAAACGGTATTTTTTTAATTATCCATAACTTCGTTATTATTTGTTGGAATTTTAATCTATCAGGCATTTTGTAGGTCTTGTTACTGCGCATATTTCGTCTGTTGAACACTTTTCTCTAAAATCGATAGTTTTTCCAATATAATGGAAAAATTGATTTTCGACCCAAATTGTTTAAAAGAAAAACAATGTTGCTAATGAACAAAATTATGCCTTCCCCTGCACATTTCAACAATAAAATAGCGGACGTCAATTCATCGATTTTTTTGGTCCATCTTATAAATCGACGCCTCAAGACGAATCTTATAAACCTCTTTATTAGTAGTTTAGGATAGCTGTGCTACTTCAATGCTTCCCCTTCATTTTCTGTGTGCTTTAACGATTGATTTTTTTTTGCAGGATCGGTGTGTAGTTAGTGCAAATGGTAGTAGCCCTTTAGAGAATATGCGGGGGCTGGAACATTATTTGAATGATATTATGAGCCCACAAAGCAACGCAGCTGATATCAAAGGTAAGCCGTCATTTAGAACAAAGCTAAATTGTGAAAAAGAACATGCCTCTCTAAAGCAATACGTTAGTCTAAACCTACGTTAAAGGAGTTTTGTTTTGAAGTATCCTAAAAATATACATATTTTTTTTCATTTCATTTCATTGTAATATAAGCCCCGTAAAACTTAGGCAAATTACTATTTTAAAACGCAAGGCACATCTCGGTTTTTGTCTCCGCTGATGCCTTTATTTTTAGAATATGGGACTAGGAATGATTTTAAAATTAAATTTTGTTTTCACCATAGAAAAATATTCGCGGTTAAAAATACAAGTAAACACAACGCTCAGTTCTTTTTAATATGTCAATACACACACACTCATCTTTGGAAACGTAAGTATGTCTCTCCATATTAAGCATCAATATATCAATTATTTCCCTCTCTTTTCCCTACTACCACCTAATTACCAGATTAAAAATGCATCTAATACATTTTTCGAGAGCCACTTATACGAACCAGAATTTACTTTGACACGTAGAACATACGTACAATCTTTTATCACGGAAACCGTAAAAACTAATTTTCAATTAACTATACTTACTATTTATGAATATTTCAATATGCACTTATACCGCTAAATTATAGAACATAATTTTTATCGCGAAAGATTTTTTTTGATAAAAGTAATGACTTTCTGATAAATGCCAGACTCAAATGCATGGAAATTAATATTTGTTAATGCGGATAGAATATTACGCTTTAATATTATCTCTACTCTACATCTTTTATTCATTGTGTATTTGGGTATTTTGCCACCTTTGAAAAGTAATTAAATCAGTCCTTGTATATTTTTCCGAAGTCAGTTGAACATATATAAAAACGCCTAGCAATAAAATTTTATGAGTTTCATAGGCATCCCTAAAAAGTTTTATTGTCAACTGAGATTTATTACCCAGTCGCCCAGTGCGGCTGTGTTATACGCCGTTTGCCCGCGCGCGCATTCTTCAACTGAGCGTATACCTTTCTACCACCTCCACGTTTAGTTCGACCAAACCTGTATATGGGTATGGCTAAGTTTTTCAAATATTTCAATGCCGAGTTGCTGCGTCAGCGACCGAACCTGGTACATACTGTCAACCTCTTGGTTCTTGAATTGACGTCACATATTTAGGCAACCCGCAAAAAATTGTCGTAGTTGAAATTGTACAGGCCGAATGTGGCCCTTGTGTACTATTTACATAGATACTATAAAAATTAACAATTAATTTATTTTAACAAGGATTTGGAAGTATTTAAGAATAACCAACACGTGTTTAGTAAAATAGACACACTAAAGTGCTTAAAACTTACAAAAACGATATAAAAGAAAATTCTTAAATTTAAAAAAAGTAAAAATTTAACATTAGCCGTGTTAAACCTAATGCGCATACTCGGAAGGAATAGCCTCATACGCAGGTGAGATCTTTTTGATATGTCATCATTAGCGTATTTTCTCTTCTTTTGTTTAATCTTGGCATTTTCTAATTCTACCAAGTGTTTTTATTGTTTTTCTTGGTGTTGTACTGCGTAAGTGTGTTTATCGCGTGTTTTTTTCTACAAGTGGTTTATTATAGACATACTCTTAACCATAACCAAACTTTCCTTGAATGATAGCCTGTTGCGAGGCTCCTTCGCTTACATGAAATTATCTTTAATCCGCATGCTCAGTAACATTGATATAATTTTAATTTATTAATTACTATAAACGTCAATATTGGTCTATAAATTTAAACATATAAATTCTATAATTCTATTAGTTTGTCACTTGGGGTTTGAAACTTCTTAAATATTTCTAATATTGCCAGAATATCGCGTTAAAAAACGATCTAGTAAAAATATTGGGAACTTTTGCCTATTATTGGGCATATGTGACGTGACTAGTAAAAAGGTCTATTGAGATCGGAAAGACTATACCAGAAGGAATCAATGAAAAATAGGCATTACTTTAAAATCTTCGTTTCGAAAATTAATCTATGTTCGTTTTCAAAACTGACGTATGTGTCTTTAAGTAAATGAAAGTTCATATTGTGTTTGAGTATATCTGCTTGCATACGATATTATTTTTATTATTACCTATTTACCTCGAGGAGATTGAAATTTTTGATTCAACAAAAATAATTTCATGGAAACAACTTTTGCCTTGACGTTGTAGGAACATTTATAATAATGAAACTTTTCCAATTTATACGAACTTAAGTGAAAAATATTTTTTATGGAAATCCAGGAACAGTAAAAACAGAAACGTTCAAAACTTTGGTGAAATATTTTATATGAAGATATTTATTTGTGGAAAAGTTTTTTCTTTATTTTTTTTGAGGGTTTTTGTTACTTGTGCAAAAATTTTGCGTCAAAAGATTCAGTCAAGAGATATTTTTATGAAAATAGTTTTGCCTAACCTAAAATCGCACAATGAACTTTTTTTAGACAAAATTATTTTCATAAAAAGAACCCATGAGTGATCCTTTTGGTGTAAGCGTCTATTTCATTAATTTAAAAAAAATATATATCATCAGGTAGCAAAATACCCAAAAATATATTTTATATTATGTATACAGTGTGTCCTGGAAATAGTTAAAAAACACACCATCAGATTTATAAATTTTCAGTATTTTTTATGCTTTACAAGGGATTCACATAAGCTACATTATTTGTCATTTTCCAGCAATTTTTTTTAATAGAATTGAATTTTGCTCAATATACTGCAAGTTAAAAATGTTTAAATTTATTACCGATGTTGCAAAATAGCAATAATTGATGAAAAAAGGGCAAAATAATCAAGTTTTTTGGATATTTTTTAAAAATATTTTAATTGCTCCGAGGGCATTCTGATTTTGGTAAAAAAAACTTTAGAGTATAATAAAACATCACACCAAATTTCATTAAAATCGGTTCGATAGTTTTCGCAAAATAATTGAAAAGTTTTGAAAAAAAATGTCGAATTTTCAAATAAAGCATTTAGATACTTGAAATCTTTTTCACATAGAAAAGACCTTTCAAATGGTTTTTGAATAACTGAAATCGGTTCATTAGGACGGCCACAATAAATTTTTAAAGTTAACACACAATTTTTATTTTTAAACAATTAGATTACATTTATCGATTTGTAAATTAGTTTTTCAAAAATTATAATTTTAAAGCACTATTTTTTTAAATTTTATCAGTATTTAACAAAAAAATTAATTTCCAAATAAAAAAATAATTTAAACAAAAATTATTTAAATAATTGTAATAATTATAACTAAATATATTCATATTCGAGTGTTGAAATATATACGTAAACAAATTTTTTCATTGAAAATATGCAATAGCATAGGGTAAAATATACAGTATATTAATGCGTAAATGATAAACTTTGTTTATAACAAAAATGTGCAAATTAGACAGTTGGCATTACGATATTCGAATTCCTTGGCTCGCGAGATATCGGATTAAAAAAAAATTAAAATTGGTCCATTAGAAGCCGAGATAATGCAATTTTTTCGTACCTTCGCATTTTGAACCTCCGAATTCAGTCTCGGAGCGAAAGCCTCCTCCCCCACTAGATGCTTTATTTGAGGCTGTGCGACATTTTGAAAATTCAAATTTTTTTTTTTATAAAAATTATTTTGCGAAAACTATTATTATACTTTAAGTATTTTTACCAAAATTAGAATGCCCTCGGAATAATTAAAATATTAAAAATAAATTATCCAAAAAACTTGATTATTTTGCCTTTTTTCATAAATTATTGCTATTTTGCAACATCGGTAATAAATTTAAACATTTTTAACTAACAGTATATTGTGCAAAATTCAATTCTAAAACTTTTTTACCTTTTCAATATTCTCAATATTCTTCCAAAATGCATAGGTTCCAAGATATAAGTAAAAAACTCAGATAAAATAGGAATTTTTTTAAATTTTTTAAACATATTTGCAATTTTGAAAATGTTCCGGACCTCGCCCAGATCTAGGGATCTACACTTTTATTATGTGAGTTATACTGAAGGTATTCCAAAAAACATATTCGTTCTATTCTTTTTAAGTAAACCTCTTGTAGAGAACAAAAAAGTTCGGAATATATTGATATAATTGCGTATTATTACTATGCCCGTACGACAAAGGCTATAAAGCTCAATACAAAACATAAAATTATTAACAAAAAAAGGCATACAAAAAAAAATTCGAGTCCAATACCGTACATTAAATTACAAATTCACTACTTAAATATTGCAATTACTTTCTTCGCAATGATAAAAGGAAATCTCGTCAACTCGTCACGTGAATTTTTTCGATGTTACAGTACTGACGTCCACCGACTTATTCTAGATCTGAACACCCATCCAAGACATCTACTACACTGCAATCGCACTTTCAGTTGAGGCCGTATTTTACTTTAGTGCTAAAATACGTTGTTCCCGTGAACGTCCAAAATCCTTCCAAGGCATATCCTTTTCTAACCGAGATTGAAAACTTCCAGTATGACAATGTGGATTTACGCAGCTGCAGCCAATATCGATTGCCAGAAGACTTCCTTTATTAGGTTATAATTAAAGTTACGAATTCACACAAGTACATCCTTGGCATCTAGTAGTCGATACGTACTTTTAAAGAATTTAAGGACTTGCCCTCAAATAACACTCCTTTTGTCTTAAAAAAAAACTGTCGAAATTAATTAATTTTTCTGCTTGTTATAATTTTTTTTAATTTCTCTTCTTCTAACCTCCCTAAGTCTGCAAATTTCTATAGTAGAAGAAAAGGTATACGAACCTGTAATACAGGAAAAAAGAAAATCTTTTTTTTAAATAGTTATAGGGACATTTAAATGTCAATTCTGCTCTGTAAGCAATTGTATTTATTATACAATATAAATGTAAAGGTGAGAGGAAAAGTAATATTTAATATTATACAGTAATGATGATTTGGGATATATTTGACATTATCGACATAATTAATTAATGTTATAAGTATTGATACAATAAAATGTTAATAAGTTTTACCTTTAA